CTTGTGTCATTTCCCCGAACTTTGCACTCTTCTAGTCAACCCATGCTCATTTGGAAATAGACACAAACAACTCACAGTTTAGACATTTTTGCTCGCATTGTACACAAGTTCGGATTTGCAAATAATTCCATGCAGGTTATAGATTTGAAATAAAATAAGCTGTTCAAAAAATGTGCATACATTTAATGCCGCGATTATTGCCAAATTATATAGTAGTGACGACTTAATTTGTCATGCAGACATTCATGCGTGAGGGTAAGTTGAAAACGAGTCTTGGAATTGTTGTTTTTATAAATATCACAAACCAAACTTAACAAAACGAACATCCTCGACACACAATAAAGCAAAATAATTACAAAATCATATCCGTCACATGAGCCAAGCTTAAACTATTCCTAGCATACGTGTGTACCTATACATCCATGGTGTGTACGTACATATATATATGCAATCAAAATAAGTTACAACAACGGCTTATCCCACCCAACAACATGCGTAGGATTTCCTGCACATTGTGATGGTTGAAGGTAGTCAAAAAGCGGGCAGAATTGAAGCAGACAAAGGGACGGATGGAGCCTTAACTCATCTGACCACTTGACTTGTCCTGGCGACCGGATGTTTAGCGTCCTTTTTTGTTCAAATTGTACCATTACCTCAGCTCACACAACCTTTCCAACACACCAACCATTATTATGCCCCCATAGTTTTATACATAGTTTAATAGTTGGTTTGGTGTAACTAGCACATGTAGAACTCAAAGTTTCAAAAGTCAGAATAAGGAATGCTTCCCTCCTCATCGTGCTAAATGCCACAAGTCATTAGTAAAAAGGTAAAAATTTAGCAGGAAAATAAATTGTATAATTTTCAACCATTCCAGGAACTTTTCCCAACACATGCGAATGTGGCCATGATACGCAAACCCAGCAATGTGCAGTGCATAGGCTAAAACATAAAACCAGTAACAAATGCATACACATACACACTCACAGGATAACAATGAGAGTTGAGAGAACGCGTAAAATCATGAGTAAACACAACGTATGCAAATCATGATCATTTTTTGACCGAAGGTGCAGTTCATGGCTAAACAATGAAGAGCTCATTCGGATCAACAGGTAGGCAGGGAATATTTAACAAACAACAATCATCCTCATTGATGATGATATGCATGCCTGAAAACTGTGTGATTTCATGACATGATCGTTTCCACACAACGTCCACTTCCTTTCCACACACACACCGGCCATCCATCCCATCAAAGCAGATAGCAGGAGACCAACGCCAACTAATCCTTAGACCCGTCGCAGCAGATCTCGTAGACATTCAACTCGGTCTCCCTGTTTATCATGCAAATTGTTGGAAAATGGCGAGAGGGCGAAGAGTACGAACTAAAAAGATACGAATGAACTCATGTACTCGTATGTTCATACTTATGAGACGACTTATTTGCTCATAGCCTCAAGTTACAACAGGAGAGATGCAGAGTCATTTTAATAGTTCGCTTTGCTTTTTAAATTATCAATTGATTTAAAGGAGATTATCCACTAGAGAAATAATATGCAATTAATTTAAGTATAATTAAGTCAATAATACTTGAGCACGTATTATTGAAGTGGTTACCAGCTTTTTATATGCGATATATTAATTCGGGATGAACTATACATCAAAGTACCCTAAATCTGTTGTAGGTAATTTTATGGAGGTGGTTGTTATCTGACGCACCAGGTGCACCACGTAGAGCGACAGGTACCAATCCAAAGAGTTTAAACATACCAATTATAAAGCCGAATGAATTATTGGATCCGTTGATTTCATTGCACGGAAAATTGTTGGATTCAAACAAACAGTACATATTTAGTTAGCCAGCCGATTCCACGAATTATAGTCTAAAATGTTCTTAAACGGAGGTTAGTTTAAGGATCAAGTAATTAAAGATCTCTTTTAGCGAAAGCAAAACTAGTCAATATTTTTAATGACGTTTAATAGGAGCAACAAAACAGATAATACAAACAGGAATGCACAGGCATCATTTTAAAACCTAAAACTGATCAGTTGCTGTTTGAACATGTACATTTTCTACAGTAACGTCCCAGTGATTACTTTGGTGAAGATGATCCACACATAAATGGCAACCCTCTGAATTTGGTGGTTTTTCTATACGTGTTCAACTTTCAAGCAAGAGTAATTTGCATAAACGATGCTGGAGGCATGCGAGGCAGGACTGGATTGGATGGTCATCCACGGAGAGTCGTTGAGGAAATCTCCCCTTCCGCGCCCAAGGACAAGGTCATCAGACGCCAAAGCAGACATTCTATCGCCACATTGTTGCCACTTATTTCCATTTCGTGCTTATTCTTCTCCTGCTTTGCTATTCTCCGTCTCCTCAGGTGTTCCAGTGGCACGCCAGCAAGTCGCAACACGGAGAGAATAGAAACTTGTTCTGCACAAAAAACAAGACACAGTAAGCTAAACGACCACATACCATGGGCAGAATATGTATCAGTATTCAACTCCCTGTTCTCATCATCTCGCTTTTGTGCTTGAGGAGAAATAAAAATCGAGTCCGGAGAAGCAGAAGGTGACGAAGAAGCGTATACACGGGTGCTGGTTTTACCTGGTAACAACAATCCTCTAGCGGATCTGAATAAAAAATTATATGGGTTTCAATGTTTGCAATTGTTACCATACTGTGATTTTTACATGAGTTTTCATAGTGGATCTTCTATTGCGCTAAAAAGAAACATAGGTACAAAATGATGACAAATGAGTATGGAGACATGAATAAATGTGCAGTGCATACATAACGTATCAATTTCGTTGTCTCTCTGTTTAGGATACTGTAAAGCATATTTATTTAATACTTTACCTACCTAAACATTAAAGGAGAGCGATATTGTAAGAGTTCAGTCTTGCATGCTGCCTGTTACAGGAAGGAAACAAAAACCGGAATATTTTTCTTTGTTGCAAGCCGGACCCGCAATCTGGTGGAGGAAAGTGAAAATCCAGCCAGAAGTTGCATAGTTTCATTGTAGATAGAGAAGCATGACAGGACGACTGACGACTTTCTCCCGGTTGTTGCAATGCACGAATGGAAAGTATAAACAATTCTTTGTATGCAATTGTCACAGAAAATAACAATTGACATATAAATCCCTGTGCATTTCAAGCTGAACAATGTTTAATGTCACAAATAAATTCCTTAAATAAAGTAACGACGCTCACGACCTCACCACTTATCATCTCTCCGCACAAAAGTGAAAGCCATTTCTCGGCCAGAAAAAGAAAGTCTGATCATTCTTGATCCAGGGGCACGCCAACTATTTGGTCTTTTTTGCTAATATTTTTTTCTTTGGCAAGCATCTCCTGATGATTTATCTTCGATGGGACCTGATAGTCAGTGCCAATCTAAAAAATAATCCATTCAATGCATGCAACTATATCCACACATCCCTCAAGCATTCTTTTTTCATCGTAGATTAGACTACATCTGAAAAATGACAAAAAGATTTGTATTTCCATTTACTTTTCTCTTACCTGTTTACATTGTGGCAATTCAATTTAATTTCGCCTTTTATTTGAAGAATTTTCATAGGTTTACAGTCAGTGTACTGTTGATTAGTCGGGCAAACAAACAAGTCGATCTATAGCGAGTCAGCATCTAACCATAGGTTTAAGCAGGTAATAAACTAACAAAAATATAATACAAGTTTTGCAACGAATCACAAGCGAATTGTAGAATAGAATAGAATTGAATTGAATTTCCAATTAGTCTGCACCTATATTCCTCGAGTTCAGAGGTAGAAAGCCACATCCAGTTTCCGGAGTGAGTAAATAGTCCTCCATGCATTCTTCCGTTGTGCGGCGAAATTTCGTAGGGAAAGCGTAAAAGCTCCAGACGCGAGGACGAGACATTAGTAAAATCCGGAGCTCGACCAAGTTTTCACAAATACAAATATTTTTACCTCTTACGCAGCTCCGAATCATACGTAACAAATCTTGGCAATTAAATAAAGTGGTAAATATATGTAAATATTAATCAGCCGTAATGGATTGTAAATTTAATTTAATAATGCCCAATAAATGCAAGGCGTTTAATTATTAAGTAAAAAGCATATTCTCAGAATTTACATATTCATGCCGCATATTAAGTAAGAGAAGGTACTCGCGATCACCATGAAAGAATTCTACGTCTGATGTTTACTCTGTACGCTGTTTTCTTTAAGCGACTTGTGATTGCTACTATATGCAAGGATGATTCTGATTCTGAGTTTACTGTTTGTATCGAGGCATGCATTTATCTTGCCAGAATTAGGAAATAAATTGTAGAAGTCGCCAATTAATAAGCTTAATTTTTCATCTTTTTAGCCTGAGTCAGGGCTTATATGGGATCTTTTACCTGTCTGTTTGTCTGTTACACGCTAGCAGCCGAACCACTGGATAGTTTACAGTAGTCTTAAAATGAGTGTCTCTCCAATGCATTGGACAAGTTCGAAAATGAGCATGATCCACTGGTTGACCGGTGGGGTCATATAAGTGGTGGGGGTAAATAGCACTTGTGCAAGTCATCATAAAAACCTTAAATTTGGCGTGTCCGTGCAGGCGTCATTAGGTCCAAGAATATGCATGAGTATAAATTTTTAAAAGTTTCGCCAAAGGGACGCAGCATTGTGATTCACACTGGTTTGCGAAACTGGCTAGAAATTGCATAAATTTGGGAGGAAAGTGCTAGTAGATTTCAGATTTACGAATGAGAAGCAAATTTCTAGAAATATTGTACCAGAAAGATCAAACAGAAAGACCACACCATGTTATTAAAGTGGTTCTAAAAGAATTGAGATTTTGCATGCGGTGCTGAGTATATGGGAAAATAGATGATGATATTATCTCATGCGCAATTTGTGCCGAGAAACTGTTGAATTTTACACAATTAGTTTAGGCAATAGTAATTGGTTCAGCTGAACAAAGAAATTAGAAGCGAATCTGACCCTGACTAGGGCTAATTGAAGAGTCTGAACTGAGGTTTATTTCCAATAAATCTTGTATTGAGAAATATATTAATCAACAATTACCCAAAGCGGGCAGCCACCACTGATCATTATAGTAATAATTACAAGGATACATGTACGGAAATCCTCGATGTGGGATGCTGGGATCTGATTCATCTGCAGTGAGACATAAGTTTTCATCCAAATTCGAAATTTGGTAGTACGTCTGAAACAAAAATAGCCGACTTTTTTCGACTGAAAAATGCATTGATAATAAGTAAATGGTTACTCACGCTGCCCAAGAACTTTTTCCAAGTGTCATAGTTCTTCCAAACCTGTTGTTTGGATGATCCGTCGCAGTCAAACTGTAGGACTGGGGTGTTTTTAACTGATAATGTACCAAGTGGTCCAGCCGTTAAGCATTGCCCGCTTATTTTATTGACCAACTGGTAACTATTTGACGCATTGTAAAGACCCTGCTTGCATACAGATATGCAGCTTCAACAACATTGTTAAACATCGTCAGAATTACAAGGTTAATCATTGATTGGCTAATTACCGACGCTCTGTGTGCAAAGAAGGCTAATTTCTCATCACCTACCACACACCCATGCATTTGAAGTTTAAGGCCGGCTTCCGTATTCGATGATGAGAGGCACTGTCCAGAAGCATAGTTGTACATACGTATCGGCGTGTGCCGCTCCAAGCACACCTGAAAAGTATTATTGATGTGAAAGTATAATATGTAGACATGAAAAAATAAATTTCTTACAGAAATATGGCTTACATTGATGTCAGAAGATGCAAAGGATTGTTTGGCAATTATAACGACAATGAAAAACAACGGTTTGATAGTCATATTTTATTATGAATTTATAGAACAAATAATTTTCAATGAGATGCAAGCATAGTATGTAAGTTCTGAAGTCTGATAGGTAACTGTGTCATCAGTATCGGTTCATAAATAAACTGTTTACGAAGAATGTTGTGCTGCTCCAACTACGTCTTATATGTAGCTTGGTGTGATGAAATGTTGTTTACATGATAAAGAATGTCGTTTTTTACAACTTGACCTTACTTTTCCAGTTACGAAGTTATTTGCTTATATTTTAATTGTAAAATATTCCATCCAGTTAACATAAGCTTGTACCGGCCGAGTACCACGGGTTAGTCATGTTGCCAGTACTTTTACAGTTCGGATTAAAGTCGTGGCGCCGATAGCAGAATGCCGATAATACGTGCTGGGCGATAGTGCGCCCTTGTCGGAATTTTGTACCAAATCATCATACTAATTGACAATCAACGAATCCACATCAATGTAAACATACATATGTGCATACGTACATATAATGGCTGTTTGCTTATTAAATATAACCCACAAGTAAGTTGCGTCCCGTGTGAATGTATGAAATCCTAGAACTGCCCGCAAGTACTTAAATTGAAAAGTTGTTTACAAAGAAATAAATTTTATTTGTGTCCCTATAGATCAGGTGCAAAATAAGGTTAGTTGAGGAATAGCTCAGCACACCGTAACTTCCCCAAGAGACCCAGAGGTCATACAGGCGACGGAGTGCTAATGATATGTTGCTGCAAAAAATACACCAACAACACGCTTTGAGATATTGACACATCACACTTCTTGAAGCATTGGAAGGATGGAAATTGCTTCTTGAACTTACCGTTGCTGGATGGAATTTCTCCCTCTGCACTAACACCATCCGCCCATGGGATGTTGAGACAGATTGGATTCGGAATACTTTTATCGAATTTTCTGGATCAATTTGCCGTACTCTCTCCAAAAATACTTGTTCTGTGTTGCAAACAGCCAAGTATAATGAACTGTTCAATGCACATCACTACTGCAGCTGAGGTTCTTCCCAATTGGTCCTTGTCTTGCTTCTTTCGCTTTGTGGTTGTCCAAAAGTTTTCAATTTACAGTTGAGGCGGATAGTCTTATTGGCTTTTGAGTCACGTTTAGTTATAGAATGATAGCAATCAAGTTGCGTAAGATCATTAAATCAGAATATAATCAGATTGTGGTATTTCTGGGAGGTATGAATGTCAAGTATGTAAGTAGGTTGGGGTGCCATGTTAGCGTTACATAAGGCTGAGCAGAATTCTCTCACACCCCACACACTATGTAGCATCATTTCCTAAGATCTTTTTCATGTTCCCTAATTCCCTACTAGTCCTAACCTTGAACTAAACCTAAACTCAAGTAAATACATTTGAAGCTATGCTGTTTTTCCGTATATCTCTATGTTCAAACGACAAAATTAGAACTATAATTTTAGAAATAGACGAATTCAAGAGGCGGGCTGAATAAAGGCCTACGTATTTTGGAGTTGAACAATAAGATTTGCATGATTGAGGAACATGAGCTCCTTTCTTTGTTTCCAACAGTTGTTGTAGTAATGTTGTTCGATGGTCCGAAGCAATCGCAATGCGGCAGTTACACCACCCATTCACTGATTCACTCCTCCCGCATCAGTCTTCTGTATACAAAATTGTCCGGCATCGGACTGAATTTTGACGTGAAAACTATTTTCTCTTCCATTCTCGTGGACAACAAATTTACGACGAGCCTTATTCTTGGACAAGGCTGACCGAGGGTGGCGATATTTTGAAAAACATGACACAAGCCTTCCTAAATTTATAGCGTATGTACAGATATGTGCATGAGCCACAAAGCAGTTGACTTTCAATATTGTTTAATGGTGTGAGAATGTCTGCATTTTCACATGTAAAATGCATCCAGTGTAACGTAAATCAGAGCGAAAATACAGAGAGAAAGTGTGAAAATAGGGTTTTCACTCCTTCGCTCAAGGCGGACAAGAATACGCCAGTCGTATGAAGAAAAGTTTCGATTTCTTTCCAAGAGCAGCCTGCACTGTGGTGAAGGGCACATTCCTCAAGTTCGCATTCAGCGTTGCTTCTAATTGTAGAATTCTTTCAAATTCTGCTGCTGCATCTTGTAAGTGAGAACACAGATAGATAGTTGGAAAAACCTAATCCGTGGAAAAAAGTTCCCCAAACTTTAATTAAATATCACTTTAGTCTAAGCACAAATGAGGGTTTACACAAAATCCCAATTTCACTAACATGCCCTAAGCAAAATTTCTCCATTTCTTTCGGAGAAAGTGGGAGCGTTGCATTACTTTCTTTTGTAAAAAATCATCTTTCTCACAATCTTTTAAACGATTCATTTAGATTTCAGACTTTTAGATCAGCCGAGTAAAAAGATTCGATTATAATTTTGATCGCTCCTTGCATACTAATAAATCACTCGTGAATGAAGCATTGTGTAGTCAGACCATTCTCTCTCTCATTCACGCAACTACAAATCCTTGCGGATTATGGAAATAACCTACAATAATAATTGCATCGTCGACGGTGAAAAAGACAAAGTGGGTTATTTTTATCAGAGTGGTTTATTTCCAGTTAGCACGGGATTGTCGAGTAAGAAAAGAGTCTGAACCACGCGGGATTGAGATGGATGCGGAATCGGTAATTCAGGTGATGCGGTGAGGGATCACCTCTCGAGGCCACCGCTGCTCTTATCCTTAGATTAAAATCCGTGTGCAGGAGGAAAAGTTGTGAGGAATCAACAAGTCAAATAAATATTTGACTTTCTCCAATTGGAGAGCAGACAAACCTATCCCGGTTTTCAAAATAAGGAACGTCTAAATTAAAAGCTCATGCATGCCTTTTGAACTTTTTAGTCAAAACCAGTTTCAATAAATTAGAATGAAGAACAAACAAAATTTATTTCCCAATATGATGTTTTTAAATTTGATGAATTTAACATCAAAAGATGGGATTTTGCTGTTGCGTTAGACATTGTTCAGGTCTAACTGAGTCAGCATTATTTGCGTATCTTTGCAGTTGATTTCGTGCAAATAATACTAACCAAACCATCAATGTTGTCATCAAGGAACACCACCAGACAGCAGGATCAAAGGGAAAGAAGACTTGCTCGATATTAAAAAAACCGTACACCTATTGTTCGTCTAGACACTAGACTAAAAATTGACGGGGGTTATTACCCAATTGTGTACAGTCAAGACTGAGAAAATTACGGAGATATATTAACAATACACAACAAACGAGTACAAAGACTTGAAATGTGTTAAACTGCTTGATCCACAGAAAGAACTAAAGGTAATTCAAGATTGTGAAACATATTGTTTTCTGCACACGTCCCATTTTTCAAGCCATAGCTAAATTTATTGCACTTGAGCCACTCATACAAATTAGATGGATACTCATTTATTAATCTCGGATCAACTAATACGATGCGGTAGATCTGACATGTACCAATTATTTCTTCAAAAAAAACATCTCTAACCTTATAAGAAAAGAAAATTATCATCACTTTCTGCGCTCTTATCGTGGAACAATTACTCCCACGTTCGTTCAGCTTTGACGGACGGAAAGAGAGCAAAGAGAAAGCTGGCGTGCAGCTTCCTGCCCATCCAGCTCATATTTTCACTCGAGCCTGCTGCATCTCAATCAAAATTCAACTTGAAAGTATTTGATCCATGTGAATCGCCAAGTGGTTGGTACTTCCACGCATTCGGTATTTATTTTCCAGCCTGGATTCTGTTATTGCTACCTTCTCTTATTACTTACGAATAATAAATAATGCTTCATATGGAAATTCTTCGTTCCACAACCATGAAAAGGCGAAAACACTGGCTCAAAATCTTGCAACGAAAAGCCGATTAGCTCACTGTCTACATTTTTAAAAATTGAAAAGAGAACGGGTAGGGCTAAGCTCGTAAATAAATATACGTATTTGTGACTCTCAGTCAAATAAAAAATGTTTCCGTGAAATAAGCGTAATTTATTTATGTCTCCTGACGTTGTGTCACATCCAGTAGTGTATTTTATATTATGTACCCAATCTCTGTCCCCATTCGTAACGTTGTGCATTTATTATTGTGTGAACCTTAAATTATTTTTTAAGAAATGGAAAGAGAAAGTCTTGATATCCTGTCCCATTGTATTTCACCCGTTGCAATTTGAAGCAGCTGCGGTAAAATGTACAAAGTAAAATGCACATTAAGTGAACCTCTCCAAGAAGTCTCAAGGCATACTTTTCATGTTTATGGCAACATTTATTTTTAGGTTTCAGAGTAAGACAAATGACAAATGAGATGATTTTTCATTTGCAAACTATGTACGTGCTGCAAAAATATTTTAAGATGACTGATTTGGGGATATCATTTTGTTAATCACAACTTTTAGAGATTGTTTTGCAAAAAATGCAATCCTGTCACGGACTTATTTCTGATTCGATGTGGAAGGAAAGGCTGACACGAACATCCCCAAACTGTGAACAACAGTCGGAAAGAATCCCTCAGCCTCACACCTCCGCAACACGATAAGTGAATATTTGATGGCGTTTGTAATATGAGCGAACGAAACTTATCAAAGAAGTAGAAAACAGGTGAGCCATTGAAAGCGTGGCGTGTGGCTGGTGAAATTTTCCGTGCGTGTCGTATCCAATTTTCTAAGTTCCAGATCTTTCTAGTTGATTCTTTTCATTTCGATGGTTCAATAAAAGAAATTACACCCACTTGCGAATTTGTATTGAGATTCGTCGGAATTTATTTATAATGATTTTTTGTTACATAATCAAGCACTCAAATTCATTGTCATTCCAACATTACATTCATCCTAAAAACATTACATCTGTATTTATGTTACATAATTACATAAATGTGTTTGTTTTGATTCTTTATACGGAATGAAGAACTCTATAAACTGGCAGATTTGAGTGATTTGAAATGACGTTAAATAGTTCTAAAAACGTGCCGTGCAGTAGGAGCAATTTGGTGATGTCTCACACCTCGAGGAAATGTAAGACTGCGACGAAAAATCATAAAATTGCTCACAACCGATCTTCTTCCTCGGCTTCGCTAAGGTTTCGACGAATGCGAGTGTTGTATTTGCAGGAAGCAGAGTCAGTTTGGAGGGTGAGTTGTGTGGTGAGCATCGTCGTGCTGGCATTATTCCCTGGACTTCGGCTACAAGCTTTTCGGAAGAAAAAGTCCTTTGAAAAAAGATTCTTGATGGAACGACGAAATGCTTTTCCGCTGCAGCAATACAGGAGAAAGTTGATGGCAAAATTGGTATTAAACAGAATGTTTGCCCAGTGTTGTGCAACGTTTAGTCGTTGTAATGTTTCCTTAGACCCAGATCCAATGGACTACAAAGATAATAATAAAAATAACTCGATCGTACATCATTTCATGCCATTTCACTTTAAAATGATGCCAATGCTGGATCCATTGTTGATGTTAAATACACATCCATTCAATATGTGGGCTTTGTAAACAAATTCACAAAATATAAACGGGATGGGAACACGACTCTTTTTTGAGTTTTTATATTAAATCGAACCCTGGGGTTCATATTACTCTGAGAGCATAAACAGAATGTATGCATGTAAGGAGGAATTGTTGACTTTCCAATATATGTAATAATACTTTGGATTTGGATAATGATACTTTGGAATTAGAATTCATGTCCAAGCTAAGCAAACAAGATGGACAGTAAGCTAAGCTAAGAACTCGGGGAAGAATTTTACCTCAATAAAAGCAGCGACACGAATACAATGTGAGGGGAAGTGAAGAAGAAGAAATACACTTGAGACCAAGAGTAAAGTTTTCGTTACTCTGATTTCCGTAGCCGTCGGGGTCATCGGAGTCACGATGGGCTTGAAAGGAGGAGTCACTTCACCAGGACTGCTTTGACTGTCCTCCATCTCAATGCTGATTGCATTATGTTTCAATAAGCTTTTCGACCCATTCCGCTCGAGATCTCTTAGCCTCTTCTGACTGTTCGGACAGTTGCTGTTGGAACATGAGGCAAACGAGCTTGTGGATCCCATATTCTGACAGTCCGCAGCCTCTCTGGCTCGTCTCGACTTTTTTCTACCTTGGTTGCGACCCCCTGCTGATTTCTTGATGTAGTGGAACGTGGTAAAAAAGTCCTTCAATTTTGCTTTTCCTTCTGGTCCGGAGATGGGCTGTGGCTTGTGAGATTGACGATAGTGAATCTTAGTGTTGGCCAGCATGCTTTCTCTGTGGCCTTTTACACGTTTCACGCAAAATATGATTTTCAGATTGAGGATTGCGATGAGCAAGAATGGTAAAATAAACGTGAGGATACTGTCAACATAACTATTGACCCGTGATAGCTTGTGATATTTTTCCGGAACTGAACACATGTAGACTAATTCTTGCTCATCAACAAGCTTAGTACTTTCATCTACGTTGTTAGCCCAAGTTTGTTTGTTGCTGCCCGTAGCATCTAAATTTACAAGAAATGTCATCATACCCCAAATGAACGAACTTGACAAAAAGCATGTACATAAGAGTACACTACTAATTGAATCATTCTCAAACATAAATATATGATGCATGCATTGATTACTTAATTAATTAAGAATATGTATGTACATAGGCGTAGAGCTGAAAATGTGACATTCTTACCTTCAATTTCGCCGTATTTCATTTCGCTTTGAAAACTCTCCGGGACATTTAAAGAGCGATTCACCTGTAAGTAATTGGATAGCATTTCATTTCCCGGTGAGAATGTATTGGCGGAGGTTGAGAGATCGAACATTGATTCATGAGCCTTCTTATCGCTTGGCAATGATTCTGAATTTTCTTGATGCTGTTCAGGGTACAATCTGAAGGTTTGAACATCAGCAATAACTAAAATATAGGAAAATGCCAATGTTGCCGTAAGACTGAGTCCCAAGACAATTTTTTTGGCACGGGAAGCAGTACACTGAGATGGTTTAAATAGGGGGTAACACACAACCACGAATCTTTCAAGTGTAAAGCAAACAACAAACTGTACAGACAAAAATCCAGTTACAGTTGCAGTATACATCACGGTTTTGCACATGAAGGAGTTGGTCAATAAACCATACCATCCCACATTGTCTAACCACATAATTAAAAGATTGATGAGATATCCACTGTCGCTTATCGCCAAGGCGGAGAGATACACAGACGAGGACAAACTCCCACGAGCATTTTGAGACTTTGACGAGAAAACAATGATGGTGAGACAGTTGCCGATCAATCCAAAGAGAAACAAGAACGGTGTGTAGAACCGATCCACGGTCATTGCCAAGTGGAAAAGCCTGAAAACATTGATACAATTACGGTACTTTTTTCCACTAAAAAAACTTTAGACATTATCAACTTCCTCATCATTTATTATTCCGAGAAACTTTTACATTCTCCTCACGCGACTTTATTATTCCATATATCCAATAACTTATGAGCAACGTCTCCCCATTTCTTATCGAATATTCTGAACAACAAATATGTCTTACTTACCTTGTTGTAATGGATTGCGGTTCTCCGTCCTCCGGGGAGTTAAAAAAAGGCTGTTCCGTAGAACTTGTATGTGTGAGATCCATTCTTACGCCTTATTCTTATGCAAATTACATGTGTATGCACACCAGCTTTTTAGTCACAACTAGTTGTCTCTGAGATAATTTAAAACGAAATGTTGACAAAATGGGATTTCATTTTGTGGCTGATCTTTCTCCAGACATTTTTCTCCAGCAACTAAATTACTACCACACTCTTAAGCAAGTCGGTAAATAGTTCTATACGATGAAGACCGAGTCGTTTTCCCCATTTGAATTCTATTACTTATTCAATTTATGTATGGATAAATTGCAAATTGCAATTCCCCTGCCTCCAGCCCAAGCCGAGACGGACGCTCGCTATTATTGAAGTTGTTGCGAAAAGTGCAATTTGAGCGTGCATGGAGAGGGAGCGAGAGAGAGCGAAATGAGGAACGAGCGGAGTGCGGCGGGCGAGCTGGTTCCAAAGGGTTGCTTTCTCCTTCAGCTCTGCGGAGCCTTTAACGGGGAGCACGTTAATGGATGCGAGGTTATAAGCAGCAACAATGTAGTCTCACGTCAAGCAAGAGACAGTCGGGCTTGTTGTGGAGAATCCTCAGGCTCATCATCATCATGGCCACACGGCATCGGAGAGAAATATTATTTCAGAAATTGTGGGCGATGAGATCTTTTTTTGTTCTACCCGTGCCCTTCACTCTTCTTCTTCTCTCACATTCACGTCGTCTCTCTGGGCCGAGCAACTCATTTTCTTTCTTGATTTGATGTGACAAGTCGCTTCACTGATTGTCTGCCTCTTGGAAATCCAATTTTGCAATGGAGAGCTTTCCTCCTGCCCTCACTACTCACTCGCTCACCTCAAACAAACTGTCACACAAGGAGGATGACAAAGTAGACAGTTTTCATTGTTTTACACTTCTTGTCACGTAATGCTGTTTACTCTTTGAGAATCATGCACATAATTTGATGGTGACAAAAAGGTTGTTTTATGTCGAGTTTGGGAAAAAAAACTCTGGTCAGTCACTGATTTATTGTTTTATTCTGTTACGCCAGAAAATAATCATTGGGATCCTTGATTTATGGGCATTGTGTATTGATTTCTCACCTTGTACAGAAATGCCCTTTCTGAGAAGGAAAAATGACGTGTTGAAATGTGGAGAAAGCATATTGTTACAAATTAAACTTTAGTTCTAGTTTCTGAAACTTATATACATGGAAAGTGTAATAAGGAAAAAAATTAAGTTATTGTTTACTCACAGGAATGCAAAAAACTCGCTATTTATATGCAAGTAGTTGCTGAATAAACCATGATTAGGCCTACAAACTGAGAGTTGCTTTTTCTGAAAATATAGAAGATATGGTATTTTTGGTAATTAATACGTAAAAAAATAACTCGACTGAAGAAGACTTTTTGTGCTTGTTACATATATATGCCCAACATGCACAACAAGGTCGCATACATAAATTAGAGAAATCATGATCTGTAAAGCCGTTAGGTTATAAAAATGTAGTAGTTTGTCCAGACAGGAATTATGCAAATTTTGCATATGTTTTGTCACTCGTTGCATTGGCTCAACCTTTCAAAGCAGTTCGTACGTACGCCTACGCTGGATGAAGACCAATTCAAATGCAAGTAAGCTGACAGAGGTATGTAGATTATTCCATAATCCTTTTAAGGAAGTAGAACGCGCAGATAAACATTAGGGTCGCATCGTTCACATGGGAAATTAGGGAATCATTATATGAACAATTTAGGTATGCCATGATTACTCACTATTGCTTTTTGATAATTAAAGAGACGTCAATGATACTTTGTCAGGAGAAAACCGTATTCAGCAAATGGACCAAGCAATCCATTAGTTTTTAATGCTGTTGTAGGTCACTTGTAACCTCATCAAATATTCCAAGCCAACGATATGAAACTGTCTCGTTCTTTATTGAAATGCTCACAAAGCACATTCAACGTCGTCAGCAATTAGATTACATATTTGACAAGGCAGCGGACAAATTCTAGACCCTTGCTGCTTATTAATATTTAAAATTTTGGGCATTCAATGGAAAGGAGGTGGTATTTCTGCCATTTATTATTACCACTGAATATTTACAAACTTTTAAATTTTTAACTTGACACTAAACACTGTCCTTGATAATTACAGACAAATTTTAATTGGTTTGTTTGGTGAATAATAAATACATAAAGACATTTATCATGTTTGTCGAGTTCGTTTACTAAATTGCAAACAATTTCCTTACTCTGTGTACTTTGTAAATGAGGATACGACAAAATAAACGAAGGAAAGGATAGTGACATGCTACTTCAGTGACATACAATTAAAATTTTGCAATAATATAATATACTTTCAAATACTTACATAAGGATTATATAAATTAATGCTAGTAGATATACTTTATTAATAATTTGAGTAGTCTATAGCATACTTCAATAGCAAATCCTTTATTTGGCACAAGCTTGTACTTATACAAAATTTCATCATATTTTAAATGTATGCATAAATGTGTATTTATATTTATAACATCAAAGCTTGGTAAATATTGAGATCTCTATTCAGTGGGTTTAAGTTTGATTAATCTCGACAGGTACTCAGATGAAAATAGTCTGAGGTAGTCAAGGTCAGATCCACTTACACAATCGACGTATCCAATTCAATTGATTCAAACTCGTTCGTAATATCCGTTTTTGTTACATTCTTTGGAAATGCGGGTTGTTGTATTACTTCGTTCGCCTCAACCACTGTGTTTCCGTCTGCTCGGTTACCGCTTGGCACAAATCGGACCGTTTTTTTGAGAGTTGTGTTGGCAAACGACCTCGGCGACCTCCTCTTATTTTTATGGCATCTGCCAAAGAGAACATTCCACAGCGATTTACGAAAGTTCCGCCCACTGAGACAATAGAGAATAAAATTTGATGCGAAGTTGGTATTGCTGCAATATAGGATTAGGCAATATTAGACAATGCATAGAATAATATGTCTTAATATTGTATTATTACAAGAGCAAGACATTGGAGAGCTGCTGTGCTGCATACAACCTACGCATGACCTCTATATCGTCCCCCCAGAAGACAGACTGTGATAATAAAGTCAATACAACATTTAGCACAAAAATATTCCAAACATCAAAGACGATTAAGTGGATGCATAACAGCAAATTTATTATTCCTTGTACTAGCTCTCGTGCAATGCAATTTGGGTAAATGTTCTTACTTTCACTTTGCTGAGAGCGAGAGAGAGAGGGGAAAAAACTTTGTGAGGATTATCCTGTGCTTTTATTTTCTACTTGAGTGAAATATTCTATTACTATTTGATTCAATTTCAATCCTTTTGAAATTGAATACCTCGTCTACACATACATTTCGTTAAGTTATGTTATGTTTGTGTGGGTTTATAGGAAATTCCACAGTTTGTCCCATTTTTGCTTTTACGTAAAATAATAAAGTATAAAGTCATTAGTTTTATCTAAGGGGACCGTAGTTTTAAACTGACGGAAAGTGAGGGCATCTGATAGATTACGCAATTTTTGTACATATACTTTGCCTCCTACTTAGGGGGCTTTCTACTTCACTACTTGAGCAAGGCTGAGCCAACTGTGCAAATCCGTTTCGCATCGATGTCACCGAATTTCATAAGAAAAATTGCAACTTGAATTCGGAGTGCAAGGATAAATTTGGTGTGGCTATTTTAAAATTACATGCACCCACCCCCTTTTAAGAAATTGGAGAAGGAAACTTTAAAAAATGAGAAAGTCAATGCACACTTGGTAAAACAAGAAATACACCATAAGTTGCATTTACCATTCGTATGGTAAATGAATGATTAGAATGCATTCTAATTTCCCCACGTCTATTAACATTTTGACGCATCAGAAGTTTCAAAATTCGGAAATTTAAGGGTGTGCCCTCTACACTAAGCCATTGAAAAACTCGGTGTTGCAAAACTTTCTCTTCTAACAACCTATGTCAGATTTTTCTACTCGGGAAGAGCTATATTTTTACCTTTTATTGTCCGAAGAGAAAGTTTTGCAACATGGAGATTTTTGTGGTCAAAGTTTCAAAATCTGATCAAATTGAACTTTTGGCGAGCGCATAAAGATTTTGATTTTCTTTTTTTGCCCCTTTGAGTGGGTGTGGCGGGTGTAAATGTGGACATTGAATAAAAACACTCTGGGATTTTAGTACATACAGTACAGTACTTCTGAGATACTACAATATGTCTAAAGGGCATCAAATTCTGTTATTGGCAAGCAGTGAAGCTTGCCTTAGCTTAATGCATAAAAGTTGGGCCATGGAGTTAAGGATAAGTAGATGGGCATCCCGTTAGCCATTATTATGTGATGTGTGTGCGTATGTGTGTGTGTGAAGGTTATTACCTGGAGAAAGACGAGCAAGCGAATGGCATGAGAGGGTAAGTTGAGAATCAGGAACGAAGTGGAGACCAGCAACAGCATTTTGGTGACTCGTGTTTCCGACGACGATGAGATTGTACTTTGTGGAGTATTGCAGACTGTGAGATTGCCCCGTCGACTTATGATCCCCATTCCGTGTAACGTGTTGGGAATCAGGTTTTTGAATGATCTCAATTGTGAATTCTGTACAGATTGGCCAACTCTGCGGTTGAGATCAAGAGCTGGAGAAAGCTCTGTTGGCAGTAAAACTGGATTTGTGGTTGATGAAGAACAATTGTGTGCACAATTGCTTGGAAGATTCCGTTCTCTTAGCGCTGTCGTCCTATTCTCAAGAGACGCCGGAAGGGAAACCAGACTACCGGATTCATTCAATGTGGGTTGACTTTGTAAAGATTTACATCCTGGACAACTAATTTCGTTTTGTTGCTGAGATAAATGTCCGACGTTTACATGGTTGGCATTGGTTCGTTGTTCCGGGAATTGTTCCATCAAGTTGAGATTGGAGCTGTCACCACCTGGTACACGGCCACACATTTGGCAAGTCCACCCATCACGCTGGTGGTGGATGTGGTTGATGGGGCGAAGTTCTTGAGCCGCCTCTTCTGCATCCTGTGGTGGCCGTCCACGTCGAACCATTCTTCCCAAGTAACTCTTCGCCCCGGTGGATGTTTGACTACTCGGAGTTGATATTTGATTTAATTTACGACGACTCATCACGGTCCCAGCCACGATCCTCTTTCGCTCATCTTTTAGCCTCCAGACACACACGGCGATCCGCACGTTGAAATAGGTGATGAGGCAGAAGGGAATGATGAGCGTGATTACAGAGTCCAAGTAATTTGCGATGATAGAAACCGTGATGTATTTTAATGGTACTGTGCATCGCAATTCGGGTTGGTGAGACTCGCCTCCTTTCTCCGCTCCTTCGTAGCCTGTGCTGCTGTCACCCTTGTTGAGATTTATGAGCATCGTCGTTGAATTAAACATGGTCATCAATGGGTTCCCGAGAATGGAGTCTCCGTCGTTGTCGTCGCCATTTGATGGGAATCCCGTCATGCCTCCACCTGAAATCAAACACATCTCTGCTTACAAGCGCCATAACTGAATGAATGAGAGAGGCCTCGTCGTAAAGACAAAGTCGTTGTTTATGGTAATGAGATATGACACACAACAGAGAGAGAAATACATCTAGCCCATATTTATTGTTACGTAACAATCTCTCCGCTTGACACGGTGCACAGTTGACGAAACTGCCCAACACTGATCCCTCGTACAGCCCATAAACATTTCCTTGAAAACTGCTTTTCACATGAGCGAAGCAGATTTTCCACTAACCTTGCTCTCAATGCATCTCTCCGAGCACCATATTATACGAGAAGGATGTTATGTGATATGATACTAGAGTGTATCCATTTGTTTAATAGCGACTCCGTCAAGACTGAAGTTTGATTGTTTTTCCAGACTTTCCTCCTGTTGCTTACAAACGACTATATTCATGGTGCCTTTGGTTTTAACGATCCTTTGAGTCAGAATGACATCAGACGACCGACTCTACTTTATTCCTTCACCAATTGGGAGAATTAAGATCCCACCAAACCCAACCATGACCCGACAACTTTTTCAATCAACAAGGCAAATAAACTTACGTCCGACTTGGCCATCACTTTCATCCAAGTTAGAAAAGGTTTCGCCTCCGTCACCTCTGACACTATTAGCGAATTGCCGTTGGCAGCTCTCCTCCTCAAAGCACCCGGCTCTATTCATCTTTAAGGAGTGGAGAAAGTCGTTGCTAGACTCTTGATGATTGAGATGAAGTGGAATTAAACTTTCTCTTTGGGGAGTAAAGCTCTGTTCAATCACAGATGTCGGAGTAGTATGATTGTCGTCATGATTTTGTTGATGCAATAAGTAGTCGTCATTCCGGATGTTTGCTGTGTCTTCAACCCTGGCAATAAGAAGTGCGTAGGAGAAAGCAATGATGGCAAACGTCGTGAGACTAAAAATCACTTTCTTGGCTTTGGAGACTGTACACACGGAGGAGCATCTAAGTGGATGCATGACAGCAAAGTACCGCTCGATGGTGAATGAAACTAAGTAAGAGAGAAAGTGCATAGACATGAAAATATTGCAAAAATTTAGTCTTATGTAAGCAGTAATAAAGTGCTTGCTTTTTGAATTCTATTTTTGAATTCCACTTACCCGTTAGCCACACGCTAAGGAAGCAGGTCACTTGTCCCGAGTACATGATGAATGGACAGCCAAGTTTGGAGGATAGGACACCCGGCCCAAACGTCTCCAGCCAAAAAACAAATACGGTGATGAGGAAGCCTGTGTCACTAATGGCGAGTGCGGAGAGATAATACGAGGACGAGAGGTTTCGCTGATTTGCATTGAAGCAGAACACAGCGAGACTCAGACAATTACCGATCGCCCCCACACAACATAAAAGAGGCGTGTAGTAGTGCTCCACAAGCTCCGCCACATAGGATAATCTGCAAATAGAGAAAGCACACATGTACCTAGAAATACATCCAAGTTTCATATATCCTCTCTCCTCCTGGTAGTGTTGATACATTCGTTATGAGAGATTTGTGGTTATTCATCACCCATTATGCATTAGCCCACTCAGCCAACTCGCATTGTACTCCTAATCCACTCTACATAATTATTATCTGTTACAATAATAATCTCGAGCGAAATCAAGCCTCGCCAATGTTTATTTATATATAAGTCTAACGCGTTAAGAAAAATTTGTTAACAAATTTGGGTTTGAATGGCCTCGGTGAGGCAATTGTGTATTTTATAAGTGCTTTATTTCGTTCTTACATATTCTCCTAGTGGCATTCTTCTTACCCAGGTTTTCCATCTTTTAGAGTTTAGAGCTAGCTAATCAGACACGACGCATCCCTTAAAAAGCCCTGCGGCTAAATTCTCAAAACTTCTCACGTCAACACCAAACATAGTTTGGACTTAATGCGTATATCTTTTGCAAGTGTGGTGGATGGGATATGCATATCTTTAGTGTGCGGTTAGAACCCATTACGTATACACTTTGATAAATGCCCAAGTCTCTGGCTGCATGAGAAAGTGGGATGAAATAGGATGAGCGTTTTCGCAGATCCATCCAAGGAAGACTCAAAAAATCTGCACGGAACAAACAAAACCTCTCTTTGGCACATCTAATATTCCTTCAGAGAACGTTCCAAACGGCGGATCGATGGAATGCGTTCAGTCAGACTCCCTTCGTATTTTTAGTTATCCCTCAACCCAAAATGAACTTCAATTCACGCTCAAAATGTTCATAGGTCATAATGAAATAGTAAGCCAAAGTATGACGTATACGTGTAAAACTTTATGCAGACATTACTGACATTGCGAAAGCTTGAAATCCCAGATTTCCCAAGTTAGACACTAAACATGAGACTTGAAGTACCTGTTGGGAATACAAAGTTGAAGTACATTTTGCATGTATCTATCTGGTCTACCGCTCGGGTTGGGTTAAAAGGCAATAAATTCTACTTGTCCAATGGTTTTGGACCTCCTAATCAAATCCCAATGTTTACAGAAAGGTAGAGTTGTACAGGAAATGTGTTTTGTGACCCAACAAAGTCGTTAAACCCGGGTATCCAATCGACCAGAAAAAATTTTGCAAAAATAAAGCTTAGCACAAAGTGTAAAATGTGGTCGTACAATAGCAAAGTTCACAAAAAGGGAGGGAAACAGCTCATATTATTTTTATGTGGTTCGAAGGATAATTCTGCTGATCCCATTCGCGGCTTTACCTTGCTCCACCTAATTCATGGAATCTTTCGCGTCAAATCCTCAGGGATGTCATAAAGAGCTTGGCGACAGCACTTTATATCCCAGAATGTCACATTTAAGAAAAGCCAAGATTAAGTCCGTGCGACTGCACCTGGATCTTCTTTAGGTGCAAAAATTGAAGGAATCGATTGAATGTGTCCAGCTGAGTCTGATACATTTTCTAAGCGTCGATGCACACTTGATCGACTTACTGTATGAAGCTCTCAAAATGACTTTTACTGCTTTTAATGAAGTTAATGAAAAATAAAAGGAAACCGAATGTTTGTAAATACCACCATTTATTTATGTATGAGCCTCTTTCGCAGCAAAAGTTATTTCCTTTTCAGCTCTCGAGACCATATGAAGAAAAAGTTCTCCATAAAAACATGACTTTTTAAATTGGGAGAATAAATAGGGGCACACCGTTTGGGTGGCACGGAATGAATACCAAGGATTATAACCTAACCTCAAGATTACTTTTATGTTACGTGATGTGAATGCAATTTCAATACTTGTTGTGTCCATGGATTTCACTGGATCCTTACGTGTTGCATTCCGCTGCCAGATTCAACCTAAACTTCTCAGCTTATTTTGGACTTTCTCCTTGAGGTTTAGATAACAAAATACTTTGATATTCGCATGAGATCGTGCAAATATGACTAGCTGTCTGTTACTATGTCGAGCAGTCGAGCATATTTATTAACCATGATGATGCATGTGCATATTTTTCTTTCTTCACGTAAATAAAATGATTTTATCAAGGAACTTGCAAACGTATTGCACATTTCATAACTATTATAACGACACAGTCAAAGGCATGAAAGGAACATTATTAATCAAATCATGGATCAATATATGCTATGATTAGTAGATGCGTTATGTATTAACTGCTCATTTATGCACAGATATGATTCGAGCAAATCATACATAATTTCTTTATATAACCTTTAATCTGCACTATAATTTGCACCATATATGTGCATATTCTTATTTATATGCATAGTTTGACTATCCAAAATTCACTGGAATTTGGCACATCTCATGTTGTAACCATATTCAATAAACGATTCATAAGAATAGGTTTGCTTAAAATGCTTGTTCAGTTCCACTTTTGATGGTCAAAATAATTCATATGAAATGTCCCGTCACCATTCCTGGCTTTGTTACAGTATATTTGTGGAATTTAATTTATACGCAAACTTACTACCCCTCCTCACAAATCTTGCACTTTGCAGTAGCTTGGACATAAATTATTCCTTTTGAACCATTGTTAACTATGACAAGAATAAATTTCAAGCATACCTATTCACAGAAAATATATCATCCAAATTGTTTGTATAATCTGGTCTTGACGTTGTAGCAGAATCCTCAGCGGAGAAGAAAGTTGAATTTTCTCCAAAGTCACCCATTCTGGCTAATTAGCAAATGTGTACGGGCAATTTCATCAACCAACATTATTTCAACTGTCTCTCCTAATCCACTCTCTTGTCCACAATTGCCTAATAATAGCCAGCTCAGGAACCTGTCACAACCATGAACTTGTTGATGCTCACACTGAAAAATCTCAACTGGAATCTCACTATGATCAAATTGTTTGCAAATATTTTACTGACTGACTCAAGGGTAGCAAACCAGGAAATCCAATTTGTCACAACCACAAAATTCCAGACCAGTCCATTTCACAACGTCCATGACAGACTTCCATCCACTTTTACTCTCTCCTACAACTCGGAATAACGTGAGTGGGAAGTTGAAATTTGGACGAGTTCAGAAGTGGAAAAAGTGCCACTTTCGGAATGAGAAAGTGTGAAAAGGGAAATTAGAGTAGTGGAATATTGGCCCGTGTGATGATGGTGACGGCTCACACTGGATTTTCACTCTGCTCAAGAGAGAAAGGATTTTATCTGACTGAGCAAGCAGCCCGGCTGCAGCGGATGAAGACGACCGAAGTAAAAGGGAAGAACCAGCTCACTCAACTACTGACCCGGATTGAATGGCATTACTAAACTGCGTTCCTTCTCTAGTTTCATCTCGTTTGGGTCTGCGGGCGATTTCTCTTGTCGAACCCACAACCAAGCCCTTCCCGATACAACAGAATGGGATGTGAACTGCAATGCAAATCCTGACAATTTTTCCATGCGGACCATCTGCTGTACGTACACCGAATAAAGTCTCGGGACCAAATTCCTATTATGAAATGACATATTTGGTTCATTTTCATGATTCGAATACGCACATATCAGAATATTTAATATTAATGGAAAACTTTTCCACTTTCACACACATCCAGTCGTAGAATCTTGCATTACCCAATCTGCTTACGAGTTTTGTCAAAGGAAGGGTAGCTGGATGTCGCTCAATGTTAAAATTTTAGGGTAAACTATTCATCTTACGTCGGATCATGATTTTGAGTATATATGATCCGACAGTGCGGAAGAAAGCAGATTCCACATAGCTCATAAAGATCCAAAATTCACAAAGAGTGAGAGAGAGAGAGAGAAGATACAGTTTATTTGTGTTCTTCTCGCTTGGGCCAACACAGAGATGAAAAAGATACCACTTTGAATTACAAAGATAAAGTTGAGACATCCCTTGTTTTGTTATCCTCTTGAGATCCTTTCATAAGGTGACATCAACTTGATTATATTAGGATTATACATACTTATCTGTGCATATTATGCACAGATTGGATGAACCACAGGGACGTTGTGTGCATATTTACATAAATATCTACTTATACGTATATATGTATGCAAATATGTAGGTGGGGTATAAGAAGGAATACGTAAATTTTAATAAAATTATTTGCCAATAGTGCAATATGTTTTCTGTAGCATTCAGTCAAGCAACTTGACAACAATTGTACACCAGAAATCTGACGAAATTGAACAAGTATTTTTAGTTAGTGGTTTATGTAACTCTGTATTATTTTGCAAACACATCATGGCTGGCACGGTGTTTTGGCAAATATTTATCTTCCGACACTAACCAGACGGCAGAAAATGCAGTTTGTGCGTGAATGTGTTTAGAAATGCAGATGCGAATCGGCGTTACTTCCTTCATCAGACGGCTCCAAAAGGGTCACGGTCTCGTCCAGCTGGAAACTATTCCCAGAAGCGGCACTGCTAAGCAGACACCACGAATACATATTTTGTAACCAACATACACACCTGCCCTTCAAATTATATGTCCCAATTACCCGATGCGGGTTAATATGACCCAGTTTAAAGTAGATTGCTGTGGAGGCTAGTAACAAAATCTTGGCTATTGAAACACTAACCAACTATGTATAGGTTTTGTAACTGATAATATGCATTGAGTCATATGTATGTACAAAGGTGCATTTAAGTATTTAGCGATTAACTAAGAACTAAAATAAGTCAATAACAGTGATGAATTTGGCAAATTATAGTTCATAGCTCAACAAAATTACAATCTTCCTTTCTTTTTCAGCACATCTACAATTTTAGATTTGAAATAGTAAAGTCAACAGTTTCTCTAAACGTTGTAATAATACGGTTCAAATTCAGGCGTCGTTTTGTTCGGTCGGTAAAATAATAAAGTCGTCCTAAATGTCAACTGTGTGGTTGTCATTGAATGCTAATAAATACTTGGAACATATGTTTATTATTCTGCCCCATGGGAATTCGTCTATACTTTCCCAATCTTCCCAGGTTTTCCATTAGAACAGACATGGCAGCTACATGTACATAAGTTTAGCATTAACTTGATGTATTCTTTGTAGAAATAATATGCGTAAGAAACAGGTAGGCAACCACATCATACAAAAGTCTGAAATATTTCTCGTGCTTAATGTTGCATGTTCCGGTTGGTAAATTTCCTCCAAAAGTTGTGGTTGCACTCCCATTTCGTTTTTGAATTAATTTCATCGTTGTTAAAAGCCACGCAAGCAATGTCATTACAGTGAAATCTCGCAAGGCTTCTGACACGAACGAATTTTTGAGTATGTTGTTATTTTCATCTCATAATGGAAATTTTGCCACAACACACAATCATGACAACTCGAAACCCTACTTTATGTAATGCTCCCTGAATAATGAAGCTCATGACACATAGCATTCAGCTAACAAATAGGAATCTTGGATTTAATAATGTGATGGACCTGTACTTGTCTGGGCAATAATCAGTACTTTTTCTACTAACTGTAGACAGTTTTTGCTGCAAATGGCTTCTCTTCTACGTACTTTCCACTCCATATTTAATGAAGTTTGTCATTGTTGACAGACGACTGAGACCACGAGAATAAACTTTTCCTGAATTGTCACTTTCTTCTTCGTCAGTACGTAGGTTATGATCACCCAGCAGCTTTATTTCACACAAAATTTCTCCGTAACCCGGATCCAAAAGTGAAGGAAAAAACGCTAAATTGGAAAAGAACTCTGAGAACATCGGAATTGAGTTTGACGAAATCAACCTTCCTTATGGCATCTAAATCCTTGGTTGCGAGATAGTTTTAAAAACATGAGAAGGCATGCGGACCCTCCCATGAGACTGCTGAACAAATTGGATATCTTAGAAATAGTCCGTCTCAAGTGGAGTAATTTATAAAATACAACAAAAATAAGTAATTTATACGATGACATGCGATGACGAACTTTCCTTGATTTCTCCTCAGCTGGTAATTTAACCGCTGTGATGTAAACACAATAGTAAATACACAATTCCACGAAACCAAAAAAGAAAGTTGTTGAGTATGTGCAACAAAAATGCAAACTGGAAAGTATAGCGTGATCGTCAGGAAATTATATTTTAACGACTTTCATCAAGCAAGTGTTCAGCACAACAATACGTACAAAACCTAATCAACTTTAAGAGACGAATCATCACAAATATATCATATCATTTACAACAACCAAATCAAAGCGACAGCGAAATGATTGTGATTAGCATGATTAGGGCATTGTTTTAAGTCTAATTATATGCGCATCTACTTGCACAAACTATAAACTGTGCCATCCTCCATTTACGTTAGTACTTGCACTATTATTATTAGATATGTGTGAATGATGATGCCAATAAGGATATTCGCAGTTAGCTCCAAATATTTTCTCGTTTTATTCATTTGAACCGAGACAGAAAGAAGTATTTAATTTCAGTGGTGGGAGTGAAAAGTAATTTCAGACAAGTTGTGTTTGCAGTGGTAAACTTCTAGCCTTATGTAACAAAGAATTTAATTATTAGTGGAATCCGAATTCAGTAAGGAAATGTAAAACTACTGTGATGCTGCGGTTACCGGGTCCGAAATCATAAATTTCTCAACAATAAGTGCATATTGATCCCATTTGAAGCATGTGTGCTATGCTGTTAGCACAGACTGTAAATAGCATACGTAATCCTACTTTAAGTTGATACTTTACTGAATAATTTGAGCAAAGAGAATCGAATTTATATTAAATTTTTAACAAAATTGCCTCTCTCTGCTTTATGTAATAATAATAACGAAGAATTTCAGAATTATGCGACTCGCGTACACACATGCTTCAGACGTCAGTAGGCAGGCAGTGAGCGACTATGTCTCCCTCCCCCAGGTTTAAGCGGTGTATATTGTCAGTTGGCTATTTTGCAAAAAAAAACAAGTTAATCTCAACTCCATTGAAATGTTCCATGAAGCTAAATCATTTCACTTATCTTGCAATGTCACCCACATGATCACAAAACTGAAGCCATTACATGCAACTCGTGATTGAAATAGCCTAAACCCCTGAAGGGGAAAGTATATGTACATGTGTACATACATAAATGCATACGTATGTACATTAATATGCACATTGTGCGTGTATGTACATATACTGTTGATGCTTTCAGCCATGTTTAATTCTCACTCGAGATTAAATACTCGCCTCTAATTTGTCAGCTATTATCAGTATAATTTCTTTCGTAATTAAATAAAACAATTGAACTGAGTTGGACTTTTGTTCTTTCTGCGCAATTACATATTTGTAATTCTCAAATTATTTAGCCTACACGTACACGTTGAACGATTTCACCTTGAATAAGCTTGTTAAATAATTTGAAGTCACTGACTTTTCAGCCATTTAAATAATTAATATTTGTGATTACGATTAAAATCAAACAAAACAACGTTTGTTTAAACTAAATGATGATCTAAAAAACGCCTCCTGAATGGCCAATAAATAACCATTATTACATTTAAATTTGTTATTTACATGAAAGGGTGGTTATTTATTCACTAATCACATGATTTAAACTTAATAATAAATTTAATTAACGTTAAATGGGGTCAAAATGCTTTATTTAAGCATGACAAATGAAGAGAAAGCAATGTATCACAATGCCCCAAGTAAAGAATTATGACAGATTAAGCATTTATTCAGTCTTTTATTTAACACTATAATCACAAAAAAAGCAAAAATAATCCCAGATCACATTTGTAATAATAAATGTATGAAAAACATCACAAGAAAAAGGAGGAGGAGGCGCAGAAGATTTGTGACATTGAAATTGACACAAGGAACCGAAAGCTCAGTGCTCTCTCTCCCAACTTGAGTTATGGGGCACGAGAAAGCCCTGGATTTGGCCTTTATCCGGATTTCGGGGACAAGTGGTCATGTGTCGTTGGACAGCATCTCGTCTGGATAATCTGTCAAGCAAATAAGAATTTGTAGAGGAATTTTTGGAGACATGGATATGGTTTTTTGAACAATTCATATTTTTAGTAAATACGGAATTGAAATAAATGAGCGAAAATAACATACTTTTTATTGCAGTATTTGCATCTTGGATTTTGAGGGGCTCTGTGCTTCATTTTGATGTGTCGGGTCAGATTATCTTTTCTTGTGAAAGTTGCTTCACAGAACTATACGTGTACATGCACCATAAAAAACATGTCAGAACTAAACCACACGCGAGACGTACGTACATTTGAAGCTTTAAGAAGTTAACTTGTACAAAATACCTGACAGCTTTCGACATTTCTGCAATGTTTCTGCAATTCTTCGTGACGGCGTCGCTCGCTTTCCAGTTTGAATACAGCGTTGCAAATGTCGAAATTACAAGGATGTGCACAACTTTCCTCAGCAACAATGTTGTCTGTTTCGTCGTTCACATTAGTTTCCCAAGGTCTCCAAATCTCAATTTGATTTATTGGATAATTAGTTGACGATGGTTCTAAAACGCAATAAAAATAAATTTCGTTAATGACTTTCACAAGTTGCGAGAGATTTCCAAGAGTCGCATACGTTGGTATCGTTGCTTAAAAAATCCCATTCCTCCCATTTTACGACTTTGAAAAGATGACAGGAAATGAACGAACGGGCAATATTGTCGATTTTTTAATGAATGATTTTTTTGGAAAGTGGAGAGATGTGGAGACAAGTTGTTTGTGGAGTAGTACACGGATCTGTAATGATGCAGCTCATAGCTTTTTTCTGCGGAGGTGGTTATCAACGTAGCATTATCAATTTCAGTTTCAGGCAGCCTCATGTATAATATACATCCATACAACTACACACATCAACCCTCCCTTTAATGGAGACACTAAGTTAACTAATGTATAATAAATCCCTGGAAATTAATCGTAATGATTTGACAATATGCATACATACATATGTGTATGCAATAATGTTGCAATTAGTACTGTCGGCTTTTGTTCATATCATAATTAAGCTTCATAGAATAAGCTTTTGATTTTGATTCGATAAGTCTGCAAATTGTGACTGTATACATCGTCAACAAAAGGTTAATATATGCAAAATTATAGCACCATCACATCAGTTCTCATCCACTGTTAATTGATTCATGAGTCTACTTGCTTCAAGGAATAATTTGAAATATTTCAGGAGATATTTCATTAAATATTTCGTAATTTGGTTCCATGCTGAGCAAGTTGTGACACGTTTGGTACGTGTTGTTTTCTATGTTATGTTTAGTCAGATTGTTAAGGGCCTGGGGGAAGTTGCTTAGAAATCACGTCAACTTTGACGATAAAATTCAGCAATGCACAAGAGGGCAGATTTTTTAAATTATGTTTAATGCGTTAATCATATCTTTAGATTTTACTTGAGTTTTTTTTGACGATCTGCCCTCTTGTGCAGTGGAGATATTTGGTCGTAAAGTGAGGACAAATTGGCTTAGAATTGCCAAATTAATGGCAGGAATTGCATTTTGAGTATCCATGGAACAAAAGAAACAACTTTTTTCAAAAACTTGAGGGACTTGAGGGAAACTTTTTCAAAAGCAGTGACAAAACCAAAGCTTTTGAAAGTGAGTGTCCCATAGAAACGGTGTCAATTAATTGTGGTCGTAACCTAACAGAGCGATAATAATCTTGGGGCCCTGGCAATTATTGTTGCTAACATAAAATCAAGTAAATCTTCCCCCGGGCCCTTAACTAAATAATTGAATCGATTTGGATTTTAATTATGACGTTATGCATACAATTGTGTGTAAAGTAATTAATTGTGAAATGCGAGTTTCAACAAGTTACACATGTATAAACAAACACATACTTTCGCATAATTAAGCGATTACTCAATTACGGGTGTAAAGGTTGTGTGGAAATGAGTCACGAGTCGAGATTAGGACAGCGTAGCAGGAATCGGAATTTCATTTCCAGGAGTGGCATCATCACAACCAACCACACGGGAATGCTCTTGAACAAAAAATGCAGAATCGGAAATGAGCACTCATTTGTATTAAAATGTCGTCACATCAAAGCTCTGCAATTTCCGAAAAATGATAAGGATTCATAACATATACACATTCAACACATATGCGCCGTGTAAATACTTCCTTCTATAACAAGTGCTATTATTCGCATATTTATGTAAATGCGTATGAATAGGTAATAGAATTGAAGATCAGATGGGTGAATTTTAAAATATTTATACAGCTTGACCTCGCCACTTCATGACGCTGGATATAAATATGTCATGCCGTTTACTGAAAAAAGTATGCGGCAAGAGAAAACAAAACAGTTGCAGCATTAATGATTTTGTAAATGGTTCAACATGCATGATTTATTATCTGCGTTCATTGCAAACTAATTTTGTAAGGTCAGGTCAGTCTCGATTATCGGCGTGGGAACGAGATTGGTGTCGAATCTCTCGTATTCACTCCTCCTCCTCTCCCTCCCTAGGTATGTATTCAATACCTCCACGCAAACACCAGTCAGACTTAGCCGAGTGGAAAGCTGATTTGCAACAACGCACAAATGGTCTGGTAGGTAGGTAAGACTGTCCTGGGCAAGATAAGGAAATGATTGCACATTTATACGGACGGAGGACGGAGAGCAAATCGTGAGAAAAGTAAACACGGGCGAGACTCCGGCAGCACGGACGTGTTGTGTATGTCGCTTTTACAAGTGGGTCACCGCAATCTATTTTGAAGAACAGGTTATCATCATTTGTGGATGCGGAGTGTTTGTTGGGCATCGGATTTGTTTGTTCTGTATTGAAAAAAGTACACATCCATCAGTAGCTAACACAAATCTGAAAGTCTGAAAGAAATGCAGCAGTTGAATTCAATTTCGTTGATTTGAGTCAGGAAAGAAATTTGCACATATATATTCTAGCTTACGTGTAGTAAGTGCAAAATATTTGTATATTTCTTTCCCTCAGGTAAGCTCTGCTGAATTAGTGAAATGAACCCTTTAAACGTTTTTTCATGTACTAAACACTCATAAATGCGTAGTATGTTACGTCGTCTCATTTTGAAGTTTCTGCTGTCATTAGATGAGAGTAAATTGACGAGACTGCGAGGCGTTGTAGCATTATCATCAATTATCATCCGCATCCCCGTGTCGTACAATGAAAAGTCAAGTGTACAGTTTTACTCATAAACTGAGCTTTTAAACGAACTTGCGGTGTTGATCTAGTGAGTAAGCGCTCATGAATTTGAGAATAAACGTTGGTTATCGCAGAGATATAACATACGTATGCATGAGCTAATTTTGTTTCACGAGGCATAGACATCCTGGCTTTAAATTCCTTTATTTGAATTCATGTTCAAACTTGATTGAGATCGTTATTTATTTATTATTAGTAACGATCTACGCGTGTACAGACTGGCTCAGTGTATGCACATTGATCAGCAAATTGTTGACCAGTTAAAGAGACTTTAAATAAGTAAACAGAAACACTCACTGAATAAGTTTATACTCAAGAGTCCATGAAAATCTCATGAAAAAAATTCATGAGCTCCTCATGAACTGACTGAATTATGCACAAGTTTGCTGTTTGGGAATGGTTTTCATATTTACAAGAGGTTAATAAAATAAATCCTTCACCCTCGATGTCTATTTCAGTGGTTTATTTACTTGCTAATTTACGGACTTCATCTCATAATTCCACAAATATATCCTTTGCAAACCCCGTCATGTAGTAACATTGCAGTGTTTGGGGATAACATGACAAGTCGTGATGATTGCACAATACAAATTGTATATCGCATCTCATCTCTGCTGATCAAATAATTATCTCGTGGGAAATTATATGTATTATCAAAACGGTGGAAAACAATGGAGGGTGAATTCGCTCACTTATCATCGATTAATCACCTCAGCATTGACTTTGCAAAATAAAATGCAGCCACCACTGGTCCGATGCTCCCTTGAACTTATCCTTGGGATAAGAGAGAGAGTGAAAGCTTTTCAAGTGCTTTTCCCACTTCCTTCTACATATAAATAAATAAATATTTACTACGAATCACAAATCAAGAGTGCGCTATGATGCTTTCCCCTCATGTCCTAACCTGTTGTTGAGAAGGTCAGGCAGGTCATGCATGTTGTAATAATCTGCGATCCTTGATTTTTGGCGTGGGGCTCGTTCGTTCTGGGGTAAATCAGTGCGGGGTGACTGGAGAGGTTGAGCTGAAGCGGCTATGCTGACTTGATCCCTCCACCTTTGTGCATGTGTGTGGCTATACCGCCGACAATTCTACTATTTCATCCGCTCACAAATTCCAAACTAGTTTTCATAATTTCTGAATTTCCTCATAATTTTAACCTTGTCTTCAGATGTACCCACGACCACCACAGTGTTGTTCAAGCAGTGTGTTCATTAGTAATTTGTAATATAATAGTACTCATTTGTTATTTTTGGTAACGCTCATTTTCCGTCCATCGGAATTATCTATAACAATGCAACAACAGTACTCGTCCCCACAAAGGTTGGAGCATACTTATATTCGCCAACCGCCAGGACACATGATGTCCTCGCCGTCTTCAGCTTCCGTCGGGAATATGTCGCTATCCCCCATGCAGATGCAATCCGGTGGAACGCCAGACCAAGACGTTATTGACCATGCTGCCAGAACGTTGGACAAGTTGATGAATAAAGACCTACAGTTGCCCTCACTGTATAAAAGTCTTACACAGGTTGCTGATCCAAATAGTGTGATATCAGGTAAACCTGCTTATCAATAAGTTAGTTTTAATAAATTGTATTAGTGCCGTTGGCGATAGTAATTCAAATGATTTATTTCCTTGTAGGAAATCGACCTGTTAGTGGATTCATGGATTATGATTATCCACCTTATCCTCAGCGGAATGTAATTACAGATCAGCAATTCACAGTAACGTACAACACACCGATACCAAGTGACCTAAATGAAATGCTTAATCGTAAGGACATTAATTTTTTAAATCGTTCGTGTACTGGTTCATTGATGCTTTTGTTTTGTACTGTAGAAGCTGACGTACAGTACTGCCATATGGGCCTTTTCCCTGAGATATATAGAGCTTGGATGACCATTGATAGCGATATTTACCTTTGGGACTTTCGTGATGGGTGTGTTTTTAATATCGAGCTAATGTGAACTGTTTATGATTGAAATTTTGTCTAATATCATAGGACTGATTTGTCATTTTTTGATGGACTCAAGGAACCCATAATAACCATGTCTCTTGTTCCTGTTAAACGCCAAATTTTTCAAAATTCCATTAAGCACCTTTTATGTGTAACGACTGCTTCGGAAATCGTTATTCTTGGATTTATTCTCTCTGACCACGCTTCATCAAACTCTAGTTCTCCAGGTATATATTTCAAAGGAATTATTACTAAAATATAGTACATTTAAATAAATCCAAGTTGTGTTAAAGTCATTGACTTTATTCTTGTTCTATCTTTTAATTACAGTGATAGAATTGGTACCTCAACCTATATTTGTCGTCCCGACGGAAGGGATAACATTCAATGTAATTCATGGCACAAAAAACGGTCGTATATTTCTGGGAGGCAATGATGGATCAATCCACGAAATAAATTACAAGGTTTGTAATCAAATAATTGTTGAATGCATGACTAATTGATTAATGTAATAAATTAATATGCTAAATTAATTCAATGTATAGTCTGAGAAAGGATGGATGACGGATAGGTGTTGGAAAACCAATCTTACGCGGTCATACCTCACAACAATTTTTAAATTTATGTCGTCTTCCACTACAACCGATCCTGTTAAGCAAATAGTATCTGATGATTCACGTAATTTATTGTACACTCTGAATCAATCTGGATGTCTTCAAGTAAGTACCATAATGCCCAGTGTAATCCTGAGATAGACTTATTGACAGTAAGTTATTGTCCTAAAACAAACGAATATTTCTTCCGAAAAGGTATATGACTTGGGCCATGACGGGACTGGATTTTCACGCTTTGGTTATATTACATTTGAAGGAGTTGTAAACGAAGTGGTAAACTTGTCTAAAAAGACGTTGGAAAGTAACATCGTCAAAAGTATTCTGACAATTGCACCTGTTACAACTGGTTAGTGCACATAAATACTTTAGAAATTACGATTGTTTTTTAATACAGTTGTATATTTATTTCAACAGGAGAACTGAATTTAATTGTGGTGCTGGATAACGGCACTCGATTGTATTTTTCATGCTACAATCCACCCACGGGAAACATTCAGGCTCCAAACTATTTCCACTTGGTGCATGTAAGAATGCCACCAGGTTATTGTACCGCCACAGTTATGCCTAAACCAAGTGTATCCCACACAGCTTTTGCTACACCAGGTCTGGCTAAAATACTCGTACAATATATATTGCCAACAACTTTGATAGGGTGCACTGAATGAATGAGTACCTAATTGTTTGTGTTATCTGTTAAAGGTTTGCTCACTCTCGCGTCAAGAACCGCCCAAGACAATGACAGCTTTTGGATGATATCCCCTTTCATGTATCCAGTGAGTTGTTTGTCGGAAGTTTTCACCATTCAAAAATTACCAGGACAAACATTGGATATCAAATTGATTCCTTCATCCAACTTATCCGGAAGCTCCGGATTTGAACATCTTCCCGATGTTATTACTCAACACCTAAATTGGCACCGAGAAATTGTGGTCCTCACATCTGTTGGAACGTGTGTTTTAAGGGGTAAACCGCAAATATTGATTTAAAAAACATCTCGCCAACACTATTGGAGATAAAATCCATTTGATATTCTCTTTTTTTGCAGCTCACAAACCATATGAAATGTTGAAGAATTTATTAATCCAATCTGGAAATACCGATAACTTACGGAGTCATTTTGAATCTGGGGTTTCTAAAGAACAACCTCTTGCGAATGCTGCTCTCCTTGCTGTTCATCCAGTCACCCGATCAGAACCGAACATATTAGAAATGGCAATGAAAGCCTTCTTTTTGTATGGAACTGAAGGGCGACAGTGGGGAGATGGACGAATTAACAGTATGTTATAATTGATGACCTTGCACTGGCAAATATAATTTTATAATCGGATTTTAGTTACATATAATTAATATTAGGTCCTTTTGACAACACAATGGACTTTAATCCTAATCTGGTATCGACTCCAAGGCAGGAAACTATTGGAGGCCAAGGTCAAAACATGCATAGTATGTCTAATGTTGGTGGTGGCGTCGAGTCTGGCTATATGAGCCCTCCCTTAGCTGGTGGTGGTGGTGGTCAACAGCAATACGGACTCCAATCACCATACTCCCTAACAGGACCTTCTGGAGAACTCCTGTTTTCCCCTCGACATGATGCCATTTACTTAGTTGTCGGTCGGGTATTGTTCCACTTTTGGAATCGAACTCTTGTAAATTCTGGAACTGCTGATGGAACGGGAACACCGCCAATTGTAAGTTATCAATAATTTAATTTTTATTACATAAAGGTGAAACGAGATTTGAATTAGAAAAAATATGTTTCCAGATAACCCCAAATATTCACAGCCATGAAGTTACACAAGCTATTACGTTTCTTCAAAATATTATTACTTTCATCAACAATAATCCTTCATTGTACATGAGCAGGTAGTTTAATAAGATTACAGATTATTTGAACACATCTCTGTAATCCTTGTTGCTGACCTATGTATTTTTATGTTTCAATTTTAGAGTCAATTTATCTTCAGGAATGCATAACATCAACTCAGTGGAAAGTCGCCAGCTGTATTCACAGGAAATGGAGAAAAATTCCATAATTGCACTGAGAGAGTTTTTGAGTTTGTCCTTGGAAGTTTTGAACATGTGGAAAATTTTATGTGATCATCAATTTCATATTGTACTTCATGTACGTATTTATATTTAAAAGGTGCTATTTTATTTTGTGACGAGCTTTATTTTATACTTTCGTTTATTTCGCAGGGAGTGGATAATCAGCTTCAAAATTCAACTATGCGTGACCTTGTCATTACTGGGCATGCAACTGTGTCTGTGATTATAAACGCACTGATTTCTAAGTATGAACAATAAGAATTAAGTATTTAAATATATATTTGCGGTCAGAGCCAAGTCTAATAACAATGGACTTAAAGTTGACATTGTTGTTTTTATATTTCTTATAGATATTTAGGGGACAATGCTGCAGTGGATGCCATAAGTATGAGACTTCGCGAAGTGTGTCCAACTCTGTTTAAAAGTGAAGATGCGATAGGATCAAAAGTTGCAGAAATTCTCGCCAAAGTCAAAAACTCGACAAATTCTGAAGAAAGGGAAATATTGTTAAAGGAATCACTCGTTTTATCTGAAAAAATTTGCGGGCATGGTCGCGTTAATATCAGAAACCTCTGCAAACAATATTCAGACCTGGGATTTCCCGTTGGAGCTGTTAGACTGTGCGTTTCAGCTGCAGCAGCTGCAGATCCAGAAAAACTTGGTTTAGATACCATCAGAACAAACGCTGGGATGGGCGATTCGATTGGAATGCAAGCTTACCAGACTCGTGCTGAGATATATAGGATTGTGTTTGATTTGCTCGATAATTATGTCCAGTTGGCTTCCACTAACCAGTCGCCGTTATTACGAAGTGTTGAAGATAGAATTTCTCCTCAAACTGCACAGTTATGTGCTGAAGAAACAATTCACGCAATTCTTTCATCTGATGACGAAGTGTTTCATATTTCACTGTACAATTGGCTGCTCGAGAAGAAACAATTTGACAGATTGTTGGAGATCAAACATCCTTATTTGGATTCATTCCTCCAACGTGCTGCGGATGCAGTTGTCTCTGGAAAATGGACAGCAGGTGGAATATCTGCCAACGATACTCGTGTGTTGGATCTCTTGTGGAGACATCATGAAATGAATCAAAACCATTCCGCTGCTGCCCAAATTTTGTCAAAATTAGCCGAATCTACTACGTAAGATTTAATTACAATTAAATAAGCTCATTCTCGGTTAGATTTATCAAGTTAATTTTTATTGTATTATGATATATTAGAACTGGGTTAAATCTTCAGCAACGTTTGGAGTATATGTCGAGAGCGATTATTTGTTCGAAAAGTTGTTCTCGACGTGGTGATTTATTAGAAACTTTGGAAGACAAAGTAGAAGTAGCGCAAATCCAAAAGAACATTCTAGACGGAATTACTTCCAAGATTTCAAGATTGTTAAGAGTTCCAGGATCAGAAAATGATTCTGAACTCAAACTCTTACAAGATGCAGCCACTAAGCTGAATTCACAACTCCTCAGCATTACTCAAGTATGTATTATTTTCAAAATATAAATCAATACAACATTGTGGTAAATTTATTGATGATGTTTTTATTATACTGTTTTTAGCTGTATGCTGGATTTGCGCATCCTTTGAAATTAAACGACGCCAAGCTCGAAATATTTTACGCTGCGGGTCAAGGTGATAAGCAAACTATTGAGGCTGTGTGGTCTGAAATAATTGAAGAAGGTATCTATTCAGTGTGTCTCTATCCGTCATTTGACATTCATTCATTTTATAATCCTTGAGATTATTTATATTTTCATGTTCTCTGATTTATTTAGAATTGGCAACTAGTGCACAACGTTCGACTGAATCCCAAATGGAAATAATTCGTCGTAAAATTGTTATACTGGGGAAAAAATATAAAACTTCTCCCACATTCTTTCCCATTGGTAAGCTTTAATTTGGCTAATCAAAATGTTTGGACAGATTGAGCTAATATTATTGTTTTAAATTTTGTTAGACTTTTTAATCGAGCACCTAGAAGCTATGAAACCCCAAGATTCAGAAAATGTCACTTGGGTGTTCAAGACCATGCTAGAAGTGGGAATCAGCTTTCCAGAAGTCTTAATAATTTACGAAAGGTTGGTTCAGCCGTTTTTTAAACTTGTTGTTTACATCAACAATAATATGATTTATTTTTCATCAAGGTTGTGGATCAAATATATAAATCGATCCGGTGCAGCGGGTGGAGACTGTCACACTGCTAAGGTTATCATGTTTATGATTGATTCCCTAGCCAAGCAGGAGTTGGATATCCGAACCACATTTTTAAATAGGTAAGTTTAACCTAGCACTGTTAAATGATCATATATATTTTTATATCTTCATAATTTTTACAGGCCTGATCTCTTGGAAAAATGTAAAGATTTAATATCAGCAATGATCGTGGAATTTTCTTCACGATTCGACCCATCCTCAGCCGAAATGACAAGAATGTTAAACCGCGTACGTGAACGCCTGGATAGAGTTATTTAATTTATTTATGAAGTTATAAGAATAATGAAATGAGATGTCAAATATTTAACTTTCATTTTTTGTCTGATTGTGGTCCGACTTATGTACATATTGCTTGTGATTAACCATTATAAAAGACTACCATAAGGGAATTTTATTATGTCGTTCTGAGCGATTTTTTCTATATTAATAATACGGCAAATAGTTGACCACACAAAATAAATAAGTCAATGGGCAGTGTTATACCCGAATATGTGTACGTTGATCACTTGTTTTAGATTATTATCTCATCAACCATCATGTTCCATGTTTTTCAGTCAAAGAATCAGCATCTTGATATTTAATATGTTTGCATGTGCATATATTCTCAATAATCCAAAATATCTGGAATGAAATTAATCTTTTCATGACGTGCTTCTTTAGCCAGCTCAAGGCCCAAGCGTGCTCACATTTTGTAATATTGTTAAACACAATAGTTGCTTTCTCCATTGTTCTTAGATAATTCCCAAAAATGGAGATTCTGCGGAGGGCGTGCCGTGTCCCCTTGTTTATCGCATTATCCTGGTGTTTGTTAATGCTATATGGATCACACTTTGTCAACGGGGAGTCGGAGAGATTAAAGTATGACTTATTCCTAATAAATCCGACTTCCGTGTTTTTCAACAAAGCATATATTCTTCTGCTCTTGATTATAAATAATAATTTGACGATTTATATTTGTAATTACAGACGAGGAATCAAAGACGCAGTGTCAAAGGACTCTTCAGGGTATTCACCAGGCAGGGATGGAAAAGTGCAAGCGCTGACAACACGTGTAAATAATTTCATAAAAACTTGCACAACTATCCTTGGATTAAAGAATATATAATCCGTAAATGGAGGTCGATTTTGTTGAAAATTTATTAAAGTGCATTTGACTCTACAGTTGGAAACTGTTGAGTCAAAACTTGAGACTATGGAGGCTGCAGAGACAGAAATACTAAGGACTTTACAAGATGGATTTAAAAATATATCACAACGTGAGGAGAAAATGGAAGACAAAATAAAAAATATATCTCAAAAGGTTGTTATTTAGTTTAGCCAACCAAAGTTAATGCATATATGAAATTCTTTATGCCTTATGTATAAGTGGTGATTTGTAATTTCAGATCCAAGATGTCGAAGTCTCACGTAAGGATATCTCAATTACTATGCTAGACTTATACATATGTATCTTAATACTGCTATCATACATCACTTACAGTGGATACCGATGAAAATTATTGGAACTACTCAAGTTCGTAAAAAAAGTCTTATGTTCCAAAACACAGGCTACTTACCTTATTATGAATTTTAACATGCAATTTAGCTGTATGTGGAGGCATCATGATAAGTCAAGCAGGCAAAATCGCATACACAGAACCATTCCGAATAGGGGCAACATATACAAAGGCCAGTTGTGTTTGGACGATCAGAACAAATTATCGATCAAAAATTCATATCCAAGTTACCAGTTTTAGCCCAGTAATTGTTTCAGAGTTGCTGCTGAGTGACGACGGTTCTCACACGGTCAATCATACCACGTATAAATTACAAATTTATGCTATCGTTCATTATACAAATTTTCCTTTTTCAAATCACTATTGCATAATATGCATATCATCACCCACTAAAACTATGTAGAGTCGGATCATCAAGAAATTATATTTTCAACGGCCCAGTAATATTTGTCACATCGCCAACAAGAAGTTTATCAATGACGTACAGTGGACATGGAAAGCTTATTCATGAAAATGTGGATTTTCAACATCATTATGTCAACAATGCCAATGGAAGTTTCAACCTCAACGAGAGATCTGCGTCTCAAGCAGATGGGAAATTAACGCGTGTTTTGTCCACCTTTGTTGCAAAAATTGACCCGAGTAATTTGGTGGAGCTAAGCATCGTTGTTCCAAAAACGTGTCAGAACTCTTCATTTTATGTCCAAACTGGGGACGATGATTTTGAGACAAGTATAAAGTATGCAATTTTCTAAAATGAAATTAACAAAGACAAAGCTTTGCTTTCACTACATATTTCCGTGTACGTTCTCCGTTTCTAGCAACAGCAGCAGTTGCTGTTTGGAGAACCCGTGCAATATCCGACGTTACACGCTGGATGGTTGGTTTTCTACAAGTCATTCAACTTTGCTTCCGAATCATGACACGATGACATTACACTGGAAATCTCGTACTAATCAAAGCGATTCAAGTGAGCATAAAGATTTATAATTACAATTAGTACGACAATAAAATTTAATTCAAATATTTGTGATGAACTATTAAAGTTGACAAATGTGGAGGAATTATAATGGGCAAAGGTGGACGAATTTCCTACAAAAAATTTTCTACCTATAGGAACAATGAGCGATGTGTTTGGGTAATTTACCCTTTTCCTAAGAAGGCCATCAAATTTTTACAATTTTCCAGTAGCTTCGAGACAACGTATGACCACCTCACAGTTTTGGAAGTTGACAAGGACAATGTTGAAAGCACATCGTAAGCAGTTACTAATTAGTTCTACTAGCACCTCTTGATTATTGTTTCACATAAATAAGTGCGAAGGAATTATGCCATATAAATAATTTACAGATTATCTGCTCCGCTCACTTTGTCGACTATGAAAAATTACACGGGAAGAGTGTTGTTGGTGACATTTTACACAGATACATCAATTGCTCGACAAGGATTTGAGCTGAATTGGGAAGCTGTAGGACCTTCGTATTTTACAAGAAGTCTAGACAGTGAAAAAATCCTGCATAATAGTTTCAAAGATTCCGACACCAATCACGTGTCCTTGTTACATAAAGGGTTTGCCATATATGTAATGACCAACAGGGAATTAGATGGCGGATCACTGGCCATAAGTGCGAGGAGAAAGCAAGGACAAAATTGTGTAAATGGCAACATTAAAATCATCGGCACTAGTTCAGGGCACATTGATAACATTAACCTTTTGACCACCAAGTGAGTCAATTTTTACCCACTCGGATATAAATACATATGTACCTATATGTAATAAGTACGAAACCTAATATGCATGATCTATGATAAAAACTTATCTCTGAATATTTCAGCCCATGCACTAACCCAGCAGTTTGGAACGTTTCTAGTCCTGATGGAATAGGTTTCATTCTGTTGGAGAATAAAGATGCTCAAGGAGGATTGGAACTCGATGTTTCATGGAATTTTGGTAAGTTATGTACATACATATTTAAATACATATGTATGTCATGCAATGATACACTGGATTAGCTAAAGTATGTATGCATTCCCAATAAGTTGATGATTGTTGATTTAATTTTGATCCGCAGTTGCTCCTGAGACAACCGATGTCAATGCCCAAGGTGACCTTTCATATGGATAATCCCTTATTGCAATTACGAAATCTACAACATGAGACGCACTTGCCATTCTCAGAAATATGTAAATACGAGTATGCTTGTTGTTCTCTAGTAGATAAGTGTGGAGGAGTAATTCATGGAGCATCGGGGCGTTTGAGTTACAAATTGGACTCTTTGTATGAGAACGGAGAGAGATGCATCTGGTTGATTCATTCACAAGCCAGCTCGGAAATTCAATTGAAATTAGTTAAAGAAGGATTTGAGCTGTGTTGCGACTACGTGCTTGTCAACACCGTTGATACAAGCACAGGACAAATGAACAACTTGACAATAACTCTAACGTATGTAGAATTTGCATCATGTTATTTGCATCGACTTATGCACTCTAAATATGTTCAGTTAAGGAAATTTGCCAACCTGTGGTTTCGTTATATGTATATTCATTATCTAGACGAGAAAATAATACCCGAGTTTTCCCAGGAAATCTGGTGATTGTCAGCTTTAGGTCTGATGCGTCTGTAACGGGGAAGGGATTTGTTTTAGAGTACACCGGTCGTGGCCAAGTTCAACATCCTCACAAGTACACGCTCATCCATCTCGATGAGGTTCTTGGTTCGTATTATTACCAACGACAACCCGGTGGGAGTGCTGATGGGTGGTTTAGAAATTCGGAAAACAATAACGACGAGGAAGTTGATGAAAACGAGTTGACGATAATTGCTTACAGTACGCAAACTGACGCAGGAGACAATACACTTTTAGTCTTCAATGTCACAATAGAAGACACGGTGTTTGGAGTGGATGAAAATTGTAAATTCGACTCGTTGAACTTTTATACGACTCCATCACGAGAAGGATTTACGCTCGGAGAAAGTTATCCTAAACTGGAATGTGAGACTACTCTGCATGGCTGTGGAAATTGCTCGCATAGCAAATTGGTTGGAAATGACACCACGCCGCATACTTTTTCTTCTTCGTTCAGAACTTTTGTAGGTATTTACAAGCCTGTCCGGTCCTCCGTAATCACAAATCAGACATTTCACATACGTTGGGATACTTGTAAGTGCCGTGTGTGCTATGTATTGTCAACGGGTATTACTTTTAGGTGTTTACATATGTATTTTTTGTACATACTTTGATTAGCATCCGGATGTGGAGGGATTGAACACCAAGAAGAAGGAGCTGGACGAATTACATATAAATTAAATGCAAAATATAAAAACCTCGAGCAATGCATTTGGACAGTTTACATTGCGAACGCAGCCAAAATTCGCTTCCTTCTTGTGAGCAATGGATTTGAAGCCTGTTGTGACAATATAATTTTGAGCTCGCTTGATCCAATTAAGGGATCAATTGGCACCTCAGCAATCTTAAAGTAAATTATCAATATTTTTTATTTACATATGTATGCAAATAGTTATTTTCTTGATGCAGTCCATGAAATCTAAATTAAAAATATTATTGTAGTAATTCTAATCTGTATCTATGTCTTTCCAGGTCTGGGAGTATATCGGCAATAATGAACGGTCCCGTCGTATTTGTAGTATTTCGAACTGATGCCTCAGTTACAGGCGAAGGATTTTCTTTATCATACACCAGCTTAAATAACACCTCAGTCGCCACAACTATTGCTCCAACTTCTTTAAGTCTGCTCTCTAACGACTCTTCTTCAGAAGTTGAGGAGACATCACCAACTCAACTACCCACAATCAACTATTATCATTACCATTTCCACCGGCGCAATTCGTCCTTTACTTATCCTTTCGGACGTAGAACATCCTTGGGAGTGAATGATATACTCACCATTACATTCAGCCCTGAGCCCTACAAAAATGAGTCCTTTCTGCGATTTGGAACCGCAGTGAGCATAAAAGAACTCAATCTTTATGTCAACAATGAGACGTGCATTTCCGATTCGCTGAGATTTTACGAGACGCTGACTGTGGCTGGATTTAACGCTTCGAGGTCATACAGCATCCCAACGTCTCCCAATAGCAACAACAGTGCAATTTCTTCCTGTGACGAGGTCGGTGACGAACAATGGGTTTGCGACAACTGTTTCCCTAATACGACAACAACTGGACAACGCACCGTGTCCACCACGTACCCAGCTTTCCTGGCCATTTACAAGTCAGTCACTCTGCCCAGAGAAAGGGAGAAGCGTTTTAAAATTGAATGGGCGGATTTGCAACGCGCAGACACATTGCTAGCTCCCACTACCCAAAGGAGTGTGGGATACTATGGCAGATAAGGAAGATGCGTGTTTTATCCATGGGCAGCAACAGGAAATTAGCATTAGAATTTAGGATGATATGGGTTTCCTGTTATGCTTTTCAACCATTTCCATGCGCCTCTCTTTGAAAGTTACGCCATGAATTTGTATAATAAAAATCATGTAAAATACATTGAGTCTTCATATTGTTTGGATGGAATCCATCTCATAAAAAATCGATACGGATGACTGTTTTAGACTTCAAGCCAAGCAGATTTTGGATCAGACACAGAAAAGTGAATGGATGAACAACTCGTGGGATAAAGAAAATTGACTCCTTTAATTTCTGTGGCATGCGAATCTTTACATTCTTTACGTTTTAACTACTCTCTTCTCTGCAAATGACAAAAAAGAAAGATTGTATCTACATTCTCTTTGACTGGCTGCGATATGACGTTGTATTTATATAGGTTAACAGCCAACCTATTAATAGTTCATGTTCAACAGAAAATGTTGAGATTAGCCAATGTGAACTAAACTTTTATTTCAGTTTGGTAGTTTTTTTTAGCACGCCATTTTTTGTCATTCTCCATAGTCTACGAGAAATTGCAGTGTAGAATTTTTGGTCAGGGTCACTTCGCTCGTCGTTCTGATTGCTACGTGAAAACAAATGCAATTTTAAAATAATGAGCATGGAATCAAACAAAAGAGAGTGAAAGTCAAACGCAGTCTCATCATTTCGTATTTTTGTCTGAACAGAGCACCGAAGGGTTTCAACTGAAAAAGATGAAAGGCAGTTTTCAATAACAAAAAAATAACTTGTTTTTCCATAATGCATACAATGTTGTACAATTGTTGTCTGACTCGTGTCTGGCTCTGGATGGAGGAGGGAACTTGTGGAAATCGTTCAGAAACATGGTCGTCGTCCGTTGGTGGCATAACTGGCAACTGAAAATAACATTGGACAGAGAGCGAGGGGATTTCAGTGTGAGTGAGTCAGGCCCAGCTGTGTGTATCCGTCTTCTTAACATCTCCCGATTTATCCATTTTTTGTTCTTAAATAAATACGCAACTATTTCCAATTTAAGTTACAATGAGAATTAACAGGATTACGACTTTTTATTCAATTGAATGGTCGTGAGTGAGTTTTCGTGTTTACCTTCTTTCTCCTCTGTGTCGTTGGATTATAAAATGGGTCAATTGGAAGCAAGCAGGTAATACAGGAATCATATATTTAAGCTCAAATTATTTGTTTCAACTTGTTTACTCAGTGTTAGCTTTTCGGTGATGTCATTCTGTTTAGAGTTGTTGTATAACGAAATGTGTAATTATGTCCAGATATTGGTCTGTGTACGTGCCAATTGTATGCGCTTCAGTTTTAATTCATTTAAAAATCCAACAGTAACAACAGTAATGACATAATGTTTACGTGTTAGTTGTTATTGAACTTTAGACTAGTGCCGCATAAGTAATATCATGTGGCATGTGGCTTAACCTCTCTTTTCATATAATACGAGCATCAAGTTTCCATTCATATTTACTACATTACTACATACATGTGACATCTTTATTCGGCCATGATCTTAGAAGCCATTGACCATTTATCTTAATATTCTTCTTCATAGTCGAAATTAGTTCACCCTTTGCTTGGTGGTAATTAGCTAGCTAGTAATGTTCACAGAATTATCATAGTCTGGCGTCTTTCATCGTTAGAATAATATTACCTAATTAAGTTATCCTAGTATAAGTCAAACTAAAACTCTTTCCATCCAAAGCCACTAAGTAGACACATGCTAATTGATTAACATTTGATTTGCTTAGAAAATGAGTCAAAATAAGAAATTGAGGATGGTTAAGCCAACATCAGCATGATGATGCTTTGGTGAAAAATATTTTGGTGAATTTGGTTATGTATAGATAGATGTTAATGCAAAAAATGGGTATTGATGCATTACATCGGCATCAGAGGACATTTTAACTTGAAGTATTTATTGTTGCAAGCTTTCGATATTCATACAGAATTTCTTCATCAGGCAAAAATATATTTGTAAACTAAAATTCATGTGTACGTTTCCTCCTCCAAGTCAAGTTTTGTTTGATATCAAATAATTACATGGTTACATTTATAAATTTTTACGTGGACTTTGAGGGCTATTGTGTATATGTTAAAAAGTTTGTTAGTGTACTTGACCAGATAGGGCTGACTGCGACTCCTCTCGAAATATTCATCTTGTTAGTGGTACTTTTGATGAACAGTGCTTCTTTAAATTTCCGAAAATATCTTCTAGGTTGTTTTAGAATTAATTTATACGAATTTGGGTCCAAATTGTGTTCATGTTCATGCCTGTGTAGAGCAACAGGAGATAATCTTACATTTCCACTTCTAATGGCATGAATGTGTTCCTGAATTCTTGTAGTATAATCACGTCCTGTTTCTCCAATATACTTTGCTGGACAATTACTGCATTGAATTGAATAAATCCCACAATTTATTGTTCTCGGTTTCTCTTTAGTGTTGGTTAGCATTCTGGATAACTTCGGGCCAGGAATGTAACCTATTTTCATTTCTAGTTTACTTTCTAGAAATCGTGCAATTTTTGTGGTGGTTTCACCTGCCCACGGTAAAATAATTCTTTTGACTGGTTCGTCTAGTGAGTTGTTGTTATTGTTATACTGCATTTTGTTTTTGACTTTCTTCAGTCTGTATTCAATCATTTTTCGTGGGTAATTATTTTCTTCCAAGATTTTCTTCAAAAAATGGGTTTGTTGTTTCCTTCGCTTATTATCATATTTATCATTTCCTACCACAACCTTCCCCTAGATTCCAAGTACCAAATTTTACGTATTTTATGTTATGTTATGTTACATAACATAACTTTGTATGCATATATGCAAACTAAATATTACCAACTAAATTCGCAATTTCTCTTTAACCTCAAAGTCAGTAATATCATCATCATAAGTAAGTACAAAGTATAAGTATAAGCAACTGGTTTAGTTTGCCGATATGTTGCTGTTTTGCCTATCTCATCTCAGCACCACAAACACAAACCTCACTTAAATCGTAAATAGCATAAATTCCATTCATAAAATAAACATTTGCATTTTGTATTCATCGTGAATATGAACGACAGCCAAAAAGTAAGTAGAAATCCCATCTCGGTAATGATGCCACAGTGACAGTCAGCAATGTCTGCATCGAAAGTAGAATGAAATTTATTATGTGTCGTCGTCCGCAGATTATAAATATGTATTCGACATTGTCATCAAGCAATAATCCGATTCCGTAAACCTTTTGTTCGTTGATCGTGTTACAATGGGATTAAATAACGTTTATGTATCAATGGACCTGTGAAAGTGGTAGTATTCTCAATCTAAAAACATTATTGTTTTCTTGTTGATTCAGATTTCAGAGGTGTGAAGAATGCTGGAATTGTGGATATTAAATGTGACAAATTCGCTATACCGTCCAGAGCTAAGTGACGAAGTTTAAGCATAAATTAATTCAAGATTATAACTCCAAGAAAGAATGTAATCTTTAAAGAATTAACACTACTATTAGCTATTGATGGATCATATTGTACGATTTTGTGATATGATCATACCATAGTATAGCAGCGTGCAGTCTTAAATATATCACGTTTTTACACCAGTGATAGCATTTTCGTGGTACTTACTTTCCTCAATTCAACTCAGTTTATATCATTCGATTTGCAATATAATCAGATCTAATACGCCGATCTTCCGTCACGTCCATTGACGTCAATCATCAGATAATCTAACAACTACTTATGAAGTTGTTAGTGGAGGTGGTGGTCACCCATATTTAAAAACGTGAAATCAGTTCCCATTACGTCTTTCGTGTAAATTGTCTTCAATATGCCTGCATCATCAGGAGAACTATGGGGTCATCATTTGATGCCGCAGAGGCTCGACCTGGACATTCTTCTGCCTACCGGTGTGATTTTGCCATTGAAATGCCAAAGGGATCAGACACTTCACATGATAAAATGTAAAGAAAAAATAATAAAGCTTGTTTTACGATGTCATTAATTATTAACTATTTTTGATATGGTCCGTATTTCAGCTCAAGTATGGAAGGAAGGGCCTAAATTTCCTTTGTTTCACCTGCTGTCACCTGAAGCAGAGTATGTGTTCACGTCGGGTATGTAAGCTAGCGTTTATTATTAGTCAAGTTAATGTCAGTATATTATTAGTATCAGTGTATAAAAATATTGTAAATACATTTTGTAATGCTTTTAATGTCTGACAGTTACATCGGACGCAAAGAAGGAGGAATTTCATGACGAATCCAGGCGGCTTTGCGATCTTCATTTATTTGTTCCATTCCTAAAATTAGTTGAGCCCAATGCTTCAACCAAGCAAGAAAACATACTTAATTCGCAAATAAGTAAGAACTATAAATGGCACCATAACATAATTTAAATGTTCAACCAACGATACCTGTGTGATTACCATTATTAAGTAACTACAAGTAATAATCTATTTTTTTCGCAGGTTTTATTATTGGAATACCTGCTAATCAGTTCGATGAGCTAAGTAAGTAATTCGTTAATTTTCAAACCTAACACATTACATTACAATAGTTAAAAATTACGTTGATTTATTCTGATCTAGGTGGCCTAGAAGTAATAGAGTTTCGAAAGGACTCCATCAACCTTTGCAAAGAAATAGTTGAAACGAGAGAAGTTACAAAAGAACGGCATGCCAACTATGCTTATGCTGCCCAAGTTGTGAAGAGTTTAAGTCCTCATCAAATGTTTGCGGGTGGTATGGTTCTATTGTCAGTTTGGGTAAATGCTAGTCATGGAAGTCCAGTCTCCGTAAAAGTGGCCGTCGAGGCAAACGCTGACACTGTTATAAAGGAAACTATTGAAAGTACGTACCGGAGGAAAAAAAGGCACGATAGGGACGTCCCATTGTCGACAAACTTTGTATTAAAAATTTGTGCACGACAGGAATATTTGTTGGGACCACAATCCATATCGCAGTATAAAGTAAGATTTATTTGCTATTTTAATTTAAATTACATGAATCATTGAATTATGAATCATCAAGGTTTATGTATTTATTATTAATTTATCCCTGATAGTACATTCGAGAAATGGTACGCGTAGATGAAATTCCACAGTTTGAATTCATTGACCGTGACGTGTTATATAATAAACTTCCCATGGAACCTTTCCATATTCCTGCGTATTACAGGTTAGGCATCATCACATTTGAGCAGAAATTTAATAAATGTTTATTTACAAATATTATAACTTTCTTTTGGTTTATAATACAGACGGACACATAGAACAAGTGAAACAGAGAAACCCGTAGGAGATGTGCATTTGTGGAGAATAAATGTTCCATTTTTAGTAAGCATTTTATAAAATCTCAAGTAGGTCAGGAGTAGAGTATGACATACTTTAATTTGCTTAATTCCAGGTTCAAGTTTTATGGGCTACATACATAAATGCAACGACAGACAATGTGTGTGTAAAAGCAGGGATATTTCATGGAGATGAAGCGTTGTGTGGACTTCTTCAAACAACACAATTACCTTGCAGTACTGCGCGATGGCAGGAAACATTAACCTTTAATCTCCCCGTTTCTGAGATTCCTAGAAGTGCCAGGTACAACTTGCAATTCTCCTTTCATGACAAATTGAAGATTTTTGTTATACTATCTGTAGATTTTATATAATAATGTGAAACTGATTGATGACAATTTATGAATGGAATTTAACCTAAAATTAATGTTTTTTGTGTGTTTCAGATTATGCGTTTCAATATGCAGTGTTTCCAAGAGTAAACGAAAGCCTGCTAAAGTAAGTTTTGCAAGTACTATAAATCATGAGTATTAATTATGTCAGATTTACAACCAACTTATTTTTCAGGAAGAATATTGTATGTTATCATGGGGTAAGTCAAAAATAACAATGCACTCTGCTCTATATATTAAAATTAATTAATAAAATGAGATTTTATTGCACATATACCCAGGGAACGTAAACTTGTTCGACTATAGAGGCAGGTTAATTACAGGAAAAGTAAGGCTAGAGTTGTGGCCTGCTCCAATGACGCTCGATTCTGTTCAATTGCTTAATCCATTAGGATTAACTGGTATGGGTTTTCATGCATATTGTTATTAATTTTATAGCAAACCTTCAATTTATTTAAGCATTAATGTAATGCAGGCTCCAGTTTGGACAAGGAATGTTCCTCGCTGGAGCTGGAGTTTGACAAATATTCAGTGAGTGAAAATAAAAGTTTAGACTTGCTTTGGAGAATATCATTTTATCCCGAATAACTATTGTCGTCAGTTAGGGTTGTCCTAAATCCCTCGTCTTCAGGGGGGAGAGAGATATTTATTGCAATGTTTTTTTTGTAGCATCCTGTTTATTATCCGAAAGAACAAGAAATTTGTACGTTAGCGGAATTTCTTTGTAAAACTGAGGATATTGTTGCCACTTGTCCACCGTCCGAAGAAGTAAGTATTTAGCTTAAATAATTTAGTAGTTACTTGGCGTACGTATATATGTGTCAACAGTAAATAATTTGTAATGCGCAGAAGTACTTAGCCGAGTTAATAAATCGAGACCCACTTTGTGAAGTTTCGGAGCAAGATAAGGCATTAGTATGGAAATATCGAGAATTTTGCCGCCTAGAGTACCCACAGTCACTTCCACGAGTAATTGCGGCCGTGAAGTGGAATTGCAGAAAACAGACTGCAATCGTAATTTTTCAATAGCATGTTTTTTAATTCCATAATATGGAATATAAATATTATTTAATATTATTAATGTTTTTCAGTTTTACGAACTACTGAGACGGTGGAGTTCGATTCCAATGGAAACTGCATTAGCTTTATTGGATTGTAAATCAGCAGATGTGTTTGTGAGTAAATTTGGATCACACTACAATTACATATGGTTTTAGTTAATACAGTAATTTTATAAATGTGATTTCTAACAACCTAGTCACGGGAATTGGCAGGTAAGATAATAATATTAAATCGTACACGAGATAGTCTCTCCCTGAGAGTTTTGCATCCCCATTTTATTATATTTTATTAGTGCGGAACCTGGATCAACTACTCTGGGATTCTGATGTACTGGACTTGCTTCTTCAATTAGTCCAATCTCTCAAATATGAACCATACATTAAATCACGACTGGTCCTGTTTCTTCTACGTCGAGCCCTAGGGAATCGTCAAATTGGGCATTACTTTTTCTGGCACTTAAGGTATGAATGAGACTTGGGAGGACAAGGAAAAATTTCAAGTTTTGCATTCAATAAAGCAACAGTGTAGAAAAAGATAATTAACCATTACGAAATTTCAGGTCAGAAATATCTGGCAAGTCCTGGCTGGATGTTCGATTCGGTCTCATTCTAGAATCTTATTGCAGAGGATTATCTGGACACTTGAGAGATTTGTACAAACAAGTTGAAGCTTTAGATAAATTAACAGTTTTAACCGATTCTCTGAAGGATCGTAAGGATGATACACCAAAAGATAGACTAAAGTTAGCTGGTCATTTATAAAGTTGTTTATAATATAATGAATTTGATCCTAAATTGGATTCACTTTTTCATAGGTTTCTCAGCGAACAAATCCGACAGGCAGATTTCTTAGAGGTTTTAGAGAATTTGAGTAATCCTGTAAGTCCCACAGTGGAACTTGGTTCCTTGAAAGTTGAGTCTTGCAGAATTATGGACTCTGCCAAGCGACCATTGTGGCTTGTATGGCATAATAACGACCCTTTAGCACAACTTATAGGTACAAATTTTTTGTAAAAAAACATGAACACATTTTAATTCATCAACTCTCGCAGGGTATGGCAACACTGCTGCAATTTTTAAGAACGGAGATGACCTACGTCAAGATATGTTAACACTTCAAGTCATTCGAGTAATGGACGAATTGTGGAGGTTGGATGGTTTGGATTTAAAAATGATGACATATATTTGCTTAGCCACTGGAAAACAAGTTGGTTTGATTCAAGTGGTAAGAGACTACAAAGAAAACTGTTTTTTTACAATGAGGGGCATTTGTAAAAATGATTAATTGTTATTGTTCCGTTAGATTTTGAAGGCTCAAACCGTATACACGATCCAAAGACAAAGAACACTAGCGGCAATCCAAGTCAATTCGAGACAACTACACAAATGGTTAATGGAAAGGAATAAAGGTAGTTTTTTTCTTCTTCTGCTTCTAAAATTATTCCAACTATAACTCTGTTACTTTTTACAGGAGAGGATAAATATTCACAAGCTATTGACACCTTTAAGAGATCATGCGCCGGTTACTGTGTTGCTACATTTATCCTTGGTAAGCGTTTGTATATTACATAATGCATGTTATATAGTGTATATGTTGATGGGGACTTTAGAACTTTGAAACTCGCTAATTACGAGTATCTTTATTTATTGTAGGTATTGGAGATAGGAATCCTGATAATATCATGGTGGCCGAGGATGGACATATTTTCCATATTGACTTTGGTCATTTTTTGGGCCATTTTAAAAAGAAGTTTGGAATCAATAGAGAACGCGTGCCGTTTGTGTTAACCGAAGATTTCCTCTGTGTGATTGCAAAGGGCCATGATAACCCACGAAAGAGTCCCGCATTTCATGAGTTTCAACAGCTTTGTGGAAGAGCCTATATTATTCTACGTCGTCATGCAAATCTACTGATATCATTGTTCAGCCTGATGCTCCCGTGTGGAATTTCGGAATTGCAAACTATTGGCGACGTTGATTATTTGAGAAAAACTTTAGCTGTGGAAATGAATGAAGCTGAGGCTTTAAATTATTTTCAAACAAGGTAATATAATAAGTAGTTGCACTGATAGGTTAATAATCACTTTTGCTTGCAGCAATTAACTCGCGTTGTTTGTTGTGCATAGGTTTTGTGAAGCGTATGGGGGTGGCTGGATAACAAAGTTGGATTGGTTTTTTCACTCTTTAAACCACATTAAGGATGCGTCTACTTGACTCTGAAATAAATTTGCTCCCTTCCAATAATTATAACTCATGGTCTGGAGCTGGCGTTACGAGTCTATACGTGAGCCATGAGTTAAGCTCTAAAAAAGACAAGACTCTTTTATTCTCATAGTCTGTGATGTTCATGTATGTACATAACATGTTAGAGGAACTTTTGAGACGTATGTTTCTCTCGGAATCCTTACTTACCTCATTTGTATTAATGTATTAATAATATTGTAAAGATACCTGTGAGTATGTCTTGACAATGCCTATATTATTTGGGAAGATCTCTTAATTCAACATAAATAATCATTATACATAGTTGTTGAACGACTTGTATGTAATTTAGGTAAACTCTTTGTTCATTCATGTTTTGTGTCCAGATCGAAAATTGCAGGCCAATCTGTTGGTTACTGGGCTTATAGGGGATTTTTTTTTGTAATAAGCTGATAAAATATATTAATGAATCCTGTTAGTTCCTACGTATAGATACATACATAAATAATATACCTCACCTATGCAAGTCGATTGGAGCTAATATCCGTAAAAGTGAAACTATAAAAACTTGATATATGTATAAAGACATTATTAGCCTTTGCCGTGATCGATCATTTACTTAAATATTTCGTGATTGATCCCTTTGCCAATTCTAATCAATGATTGATCTCATAGTATGCTGTAGTATATTATGGTCATAGATTTGTAATATCAACGAGTCCCGATTAATTCAATACTACTAATATTCCAACTCTGTAATCCAATACTTAGGTTAAAGAGATGTTAACGAATCTTGAAAAAATTTTAAATTTATGTCAATTTCATGTAGCGATTCGTCGCGGTTATTTCAAAAACGTTTAAATACACAAAGGAATAATATGTATTTGTTAAATAAAGACTGATTAATTAAACTTACGTATCTTGTACACCCTGTATATTTCATTGAGTATACGCGAACTGGAAAATGTAATGCCATATATAACTACTTAATTGTGCACATACCTACAACTACAGTATCGGCAGAAAGTCATTATACCCTCATGCTTTTTCTACTTCAAGCGGGATATTGTTCAAGAAGCTTGAGGGCTTGAACTGCAATTTTGCGTAATTACTTATCACGACGTAAGGTTTCCGGAACCATACTTTGAATGACGGTGTGGCACAAGCAACGACACGGTGGAATTATATCCAAAATTCCGACTGGAAAAAAGTCTTTACACCTCTATTCAAGTTTCATGAAAAATTTGTCCAAAGTTTTCTGTGTTGAATAGCAGTGAAATTAGCATCTGGGATGTCCACCTCGATCCTTTGGGAAGGTGAGGGCACGTCTTTGAATCGACTAAAAAAATGAGCTGGTGAAAGAGGTGTCAAAATTCACCAATTCAAGCTTTATAGCGTCGACCAGATTTTGAGGTTTGATAGCGTGTGCTGAAAAATTTTGAGCTTCACCATTGACCATAAATGTTTATTGGCATGCTATGCGATGATTATGTAAGGCAAATCAACAATTAAATGTCCTTTGTTCTAAACCAAATCCTCAATAACTTTGATAGGGGCATAAAATCACCTTTCTATTTGAAAATATAATTATTCCCCAACGCTTATTTCCTTCCGCCACCATCAAATTCCAACCCAAAATGTCGCAGTAATAGTTTTTGTACATCATTACTTCGGCTGTATCAAAATTGATGACGCCCTTCCACTACTTGACGCCCAAACAATTTGGTTTTCACCAATAAAATCAATGGTTAGCATACGGTCGTTGGGTTTGTCAGCGTCTCTTTGCTAAATCCATATTCCACTGGTCCCAATTTGAACCAAACATGTTGATGTTGACGTCGCTGAACAGTATCAGGAGTTTCTAACGTTTAGCCATCCAATCATCATGCTTTTCAGCCCATTTAGAGCTGTCTACAGTATAGCCCTTGCGGAGAAACGGATTTCTCCATGTTGCTCGCTATTCAAATTCATCTTAAGCTATCCGATTCTTTATAATTCGCACAGAAACTCGAAGATTATATTCTTCCCTCGTTTCCAAGTTGATTTTTGGTGAAGGTTACCATGGAGTCATTGGCTTTTGCAGAAGTTGCCGTGATCCGTCTATAAGCGCGTGCTCCGTGTCTATGAAAAACCTGTTAAATTCTATATCATCATTATCATCCCAAATTTTTTGCAGCTCCAGACTATTCTGGCAACTGTACCATTCTTAATGGGTAGTTAATCGGAAATTCTTTGGTGTCGAAGCCTTTTATCATCAAAATTAACCAATTTTTCCCCAAGGACGGGGCTAAGATGTTTTTGAGTCAGTATGAGCTAATATTGATAACAGACAAGCTGTCCAGCATTGCAAAAATGTTATTTATCAAAGAATAGTACATCATATAGTGGGTGAAGAAGGATTTAAGGGGATGTTTTTAAAAATTACACTGAAAGTACCAAAAAGTCAAAGGGTGTAAAGACTTTTTTCCTGTCCGAATTTTAGATATAATTCCACCGTGTCGTTGCTTGTGCCACACCGTCATTCAAAGTATGGTTCCGAAAACCTTGCATCATGATAAGTAATTGTGCGAAATTGCGGTTCATCCCCTCAAGGTTATCGAACAAGATGAGGCTTGAAGTAGAAAAAGCATGAGGGTATAATGACTTTCTGCCCATACTGTACCAACTACGGTCCGTTTATTTACGATACGACCCACGACGTCATCATTGCAACGCTATTAAGGAGTATAAAATTGTATGCAAAAATAACCACAACTTGCTCTGACCCGGGCCATATCTAGTCTACACTTTTTAACAGTTGAAATCATTCATTGAGAATGAAATATACTATGTAATATATATAATATATTCATATGTTTATCAGGAAAACTTTAATTCATTATGGGATTATGATTATAGGATTCGAAGTTTTCATACGGATCACTGATGCTATCAGTTTAGCTTTCTCAGAGAAAGCTAAAAATTCAGGAGTAACCTGCAGAATCTTGTATGTAGTATAGGTACATATGTACCATGTACGTACTACATATAATATTTTGCATGATATAATCAACATTAATAAAACACTCGTACTACGTACATATGTAGAAGTTGCTATTGACTGGAAAGTATTTAAGCATGATGGAATTTCTGCCCGCCAAAAACATGTGCCCACGTGATTAACATTGCAAGCGGGATGAAATTCAAATCAAATTCATCACGCTTAAATATTGTCCAATCAATAGTGATGATAAATGGACACCAAAAATTATCTGTAATTTTATATCTCCATGCTTGACATAGACATAGGCTATGGAATCAATTCGAGTCCTCTGTACAACTAACGTTCTAATAAATACATCCTTGATTCGATTACTTAAATTTCTCGTGATTCATACGGACATCTTTCTGTTTGTATTGGCCGTTCTTACTTTTAGTCTCAATTCACACACGGGTTACTCCACGAGTTATGGTACTGGATCTGATGTCGAAAATCGATTTTTTTGAAATCCTTCAAGTATGTGTTGGAGGACCTTAAAATATGCAGAAAAATCAGTTTCCCCGAACTTTTGAAGTTTCAATAGGGCTGATAGGAGGGGGTGTGGCTTCCGTTGAGATACCACCTTTATGCAGCCGCTATTTCACGCAGGGACTCAAAATTTCACATGTGGGTACCATGGGCCAATACAATTGCGGGTCTTTTTCTCTTTTTTTGAAATTAGGTCATAGTGACCGTTTTTAGGTCAAAATGTGCATAATATCTAATTTTTTGTAAATCGTCTCACATAGCCCCGTAAATGGGGCATCATTAGAAAGGTCTTGGCAAGAGGATTCAGAATATATATACTTTGTAGGGTGTATGACCACCCCCTGGCAGAAAAATGAAGATTTTCAATTTCCCAGATTTTAACACAGCGGCAGATAGGAGAGCTAACAGAGAAATAGATGGCAAAAACTCAAAAATATTGTTCTGCCTCTGGAACTCCAGGGAGTGGTCCCAGACCCCATAAAGTAGATATATTCTTAATCCTCTTGCCGAGACCTTTCCAATGATACCCCATTTGTGGGGTTATGTGCGACCTGACGTTTTCATACTTATTTGACATGCGGTAAATTTTGACCTGAAAACGGTCATCATGACCTAATTTCAAAAAAGAGAAAAAGACCCGCAATTGTATTGGCCCATGGTACCCACATGTGAAATTTTGAGTCCCTGCGTGAAATAGCGGCTGCGTAAAGGTGGTATCTCAACGGAAGCCACACCCCCTCCTATCAGCCCTATTGAAACTTCAAAAATTCGGGGAAACTGATTTTTCTGCATATTTTAAGGTCCTCTAACACATACTTGAAGGATTTCAAAAAAATCGATTTTCGACATGAGGTCCATTACCATAACTCGTGGAGTAACACACACAAATGCTGGCGTTAATTTGCTATGCAGAAATTCGTCGAGGAAAGATGTATAACGCCCAACAGGGTAGATCCAGTTGATCTTCGGGTGTATCTGTTGAGTCATCGAGATTGGCGTCTCCCTCTCTTCCTAAGGTTGGATTTACAGTCTCGTTTGACCGGACTCTGAAATCGAGGATAGAGTTTTACAAGGGACCTGGCCATTTTTATTTTGGCGTTCAAATTATTCAATTTCGTATGACTTGTACTTCTTTTATTTTTATTTTGGCGTACAAGTCTTACGAAATTGAATAATTTGAACGCCAAAATAAAAATGAGTGATGTGAAATAATAAAATAATTCGACTGTTCGGCTAATGTAATTGTGGATTCATCCATTATGGGAGGAGCAGCTGTACACCTTGGCCAGTTCCCTTGTAAAACTCTATCCTCGATTTCAGAGTCCGGGCAAACGAGACAGTACCTCGGCCTAAAAAGTGAGAGGTGGAGTTGACGATTGGAAACTTAATTTCTTTTGCGTCTGGCTAGGTGTACAGATACAAATTCGCACCTTTGTAACTATTCCCAAACATTGTGCTTCGATTATGGATGTTTTTACTAGAGCCATACAGTCAATCACGTATATGCATACGTGTACCTACAAGATAATAAATCTGCCCACAATCTACGTAGCTTCATTCAGTTTTACTTTTCAATGAGTAAGCTACAGGGGCATGAGTCATACGTTATGACGTATTAATTCATAAGTATTCATCCTCAGTGCAGCGATTTTGTCGGTTAACAAAATATCACTACGTAGTTTATCACAATATTCGTAATTTACAATGTGATTTGTTAATCTGGAAATTGTTATGCTGTATTCGGCATTGAGTTGGGTTGACTATCCAATTACGAATATGTATGATGAACCAAATGGTCATTTTTCAAATGTCATTCCATTACCTGATTTACTTTAAATTTGTGGTTGGGGGTGGCGGAGCAGAATGCACCAGGGACCAGGTCATGTCAAACATGACGATACATACATAAGTATGTTCATCCGAACTGTATAACAAGGCGAGGAACACAAAATACTGCTGCTCACTTTGCCTCTTTTCACTTCTTCTTTTTGCATTATTAATGAGTGGCAAATGACATTTCCTCTCATTTTCCACATAACAAACGAGTAGCAGCCAAACATAACAGATCGGGACACGCTGCATAAAATTAGTCCCTTTTGTCCTTGTCCACCCTTTTATCTATAATGTAGCACCGCATTACATTTCGTCCACTACAACTCCTCCACATCCACATCTCTCATGTCTCCTCGAGTTTCTACTAAAAGTCTTCATCTTAAACAGGCCGTGTGCACTGTGGTTGGTAGCTTTCTCCGTGCTTTCTCCTCTATTCTGGACCAAGGCAGATATGTAAATGTGTATACATAAGAAGATGCGTCCACATACATGTCGTGCTGGTCGACTTTGACTTGCTTTCTGCTTTGTTCCAGATAGTGGGAGAATTATTAACTTTGTTTGCAAATTTTGTCTTCCATTACTTTTATCATTTATTTTAATAAGTGTATGTACGCTGTATACGCCGCATTATTTATAATGTGTTATGGCCTATTAAAATAATACATTTATGCAAATCACGGCAGTGGCACGTAAACTATATTTTTTACGCATTATTCTTCTAAAAATAAGCTTACTAATACTATACACAGACTTTTGTTGGGCACAATAATGGGTTAAACTTTATTCAGTCGGAATACATACATCACTTGTTGAAGGCATGCAAGGTTGGATATAATATGATACTCGACTGTATCAAGTGATCTCACTCAATGACAATGTTTAGACCAACAAGGTTTACCTTACCAACTGTGTTAAGACTTTGGCATCCAAACACGCCGAATGCAATGCAAGTCGACGTGAGTCGTCTAAAAAAGTGGTTTGCATTAGAATTCACCTTGTCGAACGAGACGGGTGTAAGAATAGGACTCATCTCACCCACCCACGACAGTGGATTTCGGAAGACCTTTGTGGATGAGAGCTGGAAAATCCTGTCGCAAAAGAAGCATGGCGCAGGAAATCTCAATCACGTAAGAGAAATTGAAAAGCTTTTTAGAATTTCCTCAATTCTCATATGGTAATGGGGCTTGAGAATGAATACAAGATGAAAGTGGAACTTGTTAGTAACCACAAGAGAACGCTGATCGGTAACGAGGTCGTCAACTTTGAAATGGGATAAGCTTTGAATTGAAACCTGGATGTTCAGGTATTCATATTAAGAATAAGGAATAAGGTTGTCTCAACCAACCCAACCACCACCAGACCAGAGATGCATACAAGTAACTGATAAATATCCAACAAAAATCAGGCGGCTCGGTCGTAGCTCTGTTCGTCCTAAGGGATTCTACATAAAGCATGCGACCGAAGTTACTGCAACTTCTATTGACATGAGAAAGGGGGGAGGGGGCTCTTTTTACGTCAAAGTTGGGAAAATCTCCCAAAAAATATGGTTTTATCTACAATGCGTTACATATGACTATCGCTCTCCTTTGTTTTGCATTTCTGGTTTTGGAATAAATGCGGTGGCGCAACACCACTGGTGCCTTGGGTCCTCTGTAATATTTAGAAGAATCATAAATGCAGCCTCATGCTCTGATCACTTGTTAGAAAAATTCAGGAAGCAGTCTGTACATACTGCGAGTACATGTACTTCTTTTCCCTTCCCTGTTGCACGTATTGTAAAACTGGGTTGTGAAACTATACTAGAGATATTTTATTATATTCTAACGTGGATAATGGCACCAGTCAAAACCCAAGTACAATATTGATGGCGAGGTCGATATTACATATTCGAAACTGCTACTCATACACACCAAGGCAGAGAAAATTACACTTCTTATTTTCCATTTGAAGCAGTCATGACCAAGATGGAAAAAGATATTGTCTCCAACTTCTCTCCATTTCATTTAGATTGCATGAATCATGAGTCGTGCGGTTGACATCCAATTGTAAATATTCCAATGATTTATTGCCCTCCACTTAATCCTCTCCCTCCCACCTTTTTCCAGTGCTGGTTGTGGTGAACTAAATGGAAAAATGTACATAGAAAATCTGAGCTGTCCTTTCCTTACATTGCATTGCACTGCTTACACACATATTTCTCAGAATACAAACAAACTTAAATTTACATTATATACTTTCAAAATTGAGTGGGCAATTCATTGAATAAAATTCCGTCCGTCCGCCAACACCTGTCAAAAATCTGAGTTTACATTTCAAAAGTGGACCTAAAAAAGGCTAGGAAACCAAAGTACTTGTGTATGGATTTACTTACGTGCTTGTAGAGGGGACTTGGTGGTGGGTGGGTTTGATTGAAGTACAGATGAGCTTATGAAATTTAGTTGAGATTCATTCATTCATTCATGAAGCCGAAGACAGTGTCAATCGAACCACTATCTGTTGGGAGTGCAATTTGGGCAGGGGAAAGCAGTATAATACGAAAGCAGGAGGAGAAAGGTAAACTGTTTCCTTTGACTTGAGGTTTGAAGTGCTTCAACTTCAAAGTGCTGGGAGCTACTTGTGAGGAGCAACCAAATTGGAGTAGCCACGACCACTTTCTCATTCCAAACCAGCCCCAAATCCTGGCTTTCGGTTTTTCTGTACTTCTTCACTCCTTTCCCTTTTGCTGCTGGACATGGGAGAAGGTAAGAACAAACAAAGTATGGCCGTCGTCCTGTCCGTACGTACGTAGGTAGGCAGGCAGGCACACGTACATAACAAGCTCAAGGAGAAACATGAACTTGTAAAGGATAAATTTAACTTGTTCATACGACGTACGGGGGCTGAGATTATGTCTGCCGGGATGCGACTAACCCCGATAATCCTTTTGCTCAAAGTGTGCCAACTTTTTCAATTTATATGGAAAATCACAGCATCAGAATTTATCCGAACAGAATGTACTACTTTTATTGGACAAGGAAACAGTAATTCTGTGTGCACTGGTTGTGGTAGATTTAGACTATAAAATGAAACCGTTATGAGATTGATAGATGAAAAGAAATAAGTGTGCCGTCTCATTCTTTTACCCAGAGATGAAGAGTCAGAGGAGCACATTCGCTTTACTCGTTTTTGTTCAACAACTACACAATAACTACGCTATAAACAAAAACTCTGCACATTTATAACTGGCAGAAATCTTATAGTAAATCTGTATGTATGAATGGCTATACAATCTTGCGGCAGGATTGATAGTTTGGTATTTTCGATTCGAATGATGCCACAGTAATAAAGAAATTCATCGTTTTTGTCAACACATCATGAACGACTGCACACATTATGATGTTATACTGCTTCATATTACATACATCGACTCCAGACAGAGAGAAAGTGACGGGAAAATACTCACAATCGTTCACTTGTTGATGCTGTTGAGTCTGGTTGCTGATGTAGTATTTATAATGTGTATGTGCTTGTCATAAGTATTTTCACTATAATTTGATCCTGTTGCACTTGTTTTGTGTATAGTTAAAGTTTGCAAAGACCAATGATGAATTAAAAACACTTTTCCTTCAGCTTTCACATGGGACTAACTGCATTTTGCATGCAAATGACGTAGATGCAAATTACCACGAGTATAATTTGTGCCCTGTTCTTCTCTCCGAGGACTTGACGGCTTTCCTCTTCTCTTACTTCTCTTCATCCGCCTCTGTTGGCATGTGGATCGCAGTAGTCTCGCTCTCTCGTATTTAGTACGTCTATACCGGAACAATAATGCAAAGATGATGGAGAAAGCAGGGCATGAGATACAAGTGAAATGGGCGCTCATATAGTGCTCCTATGCTGGCATACAGCCACTAGAAATTACATTTTTTCTACGACTTGCCGTGTTAAAAAGTTGTAAAGTTTGTCACATAAAAGAATGTTTTATATGTACCATGAAAGTGAAAGCACTTTTGAAGTATGAAGTATGTAGCCAACACGGGTGTAGGAAAACAAGGCATTTATACATACTTAAATACAACCATTCTTTCATCAGAATACACTTCACGGGTGTCTTTCATGTTTTCTCAGTTCATCAAGGTGAACGCAGTTGTTCTCATTATTACCTCATGTCGAAGCTTAATTTGTTCTAGTCACATGGCCGACGAAATAAGTCTGTCTGCTAGTTTTGACGAGATAAGAAACAACTCGGAGGAGGGGACAGGAGGTCGTGATTTAGCCGTGGGAAAAGAGATTAATTATGATATAGTTTTTCCCGTTGGAAATCCTGATTGAATCTCTTTCTCAAAGAGCTCGGCTCGTGGGTTTGTTGATTGTTTTCTTTTGTATAATGGCTTTGTGAGGCATATCACCGAGGTCTGTGCGGCACGAATTAAGCGTAGATGTGCGCCGCTTGTCATGATGTGCATTGTCTTGCCATGCATGATACATAAATAAATTTACGAGGATAAATCTATTAGCAGATCTGCTCCAATAATTCGTTCGTTTTACTACTTCTTTCATTTTTTGGTAGTGCATTATTGATGAAAGAAAGCGTCTCGATCTGATTGAATCAAGTCAAATAAGTATGAGCTGAAGAAGAAGGAGCAACAAACATTTGGGCAATCCAATAATGCAAGCAGCTTGTAAGTTAATTTTATTCATCTAATCGCTAACAATATAATTTACATATGTATGCGTATACACACGGACACACGCAAAATACCTCTTTTAATATTTAACTACTCTGATTACTACCATTTTAAATACATGCAGTGGCATTAAGTATCTTAATTCATACTATGTACAAGTTAGCACCAAAGTATCACCTTTATGCTAATAATCAAAGCAGTTAATAATTTTATCATCAAGATTACACATAGTAAAACTACATATTTATCACAATTTGGCCTTAATTAAGTTGTGTTCCTGAATGACAAAGAAGAAGTATTCCCTGTCAAACTGAAATTAAAGCTACAGAGAAGACAGGGATTTTGTGTCACGCACAGTTGCCTGCACATTTTCAAGTTCCTTTACAAGTATTCTACTTAATTTCAAATTCGTGTTAAACAACAATTAAAGCTCATCCTATCGCGCCAAAACCAAAGGCCAACTAAAAATGGACATTGATTACCGAGTTGATAGATAGAGAGTCGTGAATTCTTATTAATTACATGCTACACACTGATAAATATCTCTACAGTCTACTGCAGTGTATCATAAATAGGAGGACATTGATACGGAACATACAGCCTGCGCTTTGATACTAATATGCACAGGAACTTGAACAAACCTAATTCAAGTGGATGTTGAGTGAGACGTTGTATTGTTGGGTGAGACGTTGACAAGTGAAGGAGGTGCAGGAGACAGGCTTGGGACAGGAGGATGCTAATGGGGAAAGAGAAAGTAGGTGCAGTTAGGTAGGCGTGGAGGGTCGGAAGAGAAAGGAAACCCCAGCAACAAACTGACTTGACTGAGGAGTAAATATACAAGTAGCAACAGGTATACGCACAACAAATGCCATCTGCTCTACTTAAGCGTCTAATCATAAACCTGGCTTATTACGCCTACTTGAGCTAATATGCGACTACTTGAGGAGAGTTTACCCACTTTTATGCAACCTGCCTTCATCATCGGAGAAGAGCCATTATTCTTACAATCATACCGAATAATTCCATTCCTCGCTCTTCAGAGTCCTTCACCTAATCTGCTGCCACTTCTCCTTTCTCCCCAATTCGCCCACACTCCTCGTCCTCTCCTATGGCTATGCATGACTTGAAGCAGGAAGCATGATGAGGAATAATGTCACGGCTAAAATAGTACTGATTAGTTCACATCATCACTCCATGCACACACGACAACGACGAGAGTTATTTAACCTTTTGTAAAAGAGATGAAGTGAAAACAAAGAGACTTTGTTGACAAGGAATGATGTTTGACTTAGGAGGACTACTTGTGACTGACAGACTCACAGGTTTTCATGCCCCTTGGATTATAGTAAGTAGTACTAGGTGAGTGCACGAAAAGTGAGGGAGGATTTTATTAAATGGTCCCATTTGGACCGTCACACCCCTTCAAAAAGGAACCCCACGCTAAGCTGGTTGCGCTAAATAATCCACAAGAAATCTTTTTTTGATTGGATTTTCATAATTTTCGCACTTTCGTAATCCTGGATAGTTACTTTATCATAAATAATATCAAGCCCAATTTTTAAAAATTTTTTCAGTATTTTCTAAAATTTCTTGACCCATTTCAGGCATGTCTTCGAAAAAAATCAAAATTTCAAAAAAGTTTAGTTTTGATATAATAAAGTAACTATCTAGAATCAAATAAACGCTAAAATTACGAAAAGCCTATCTAAATTGTATTTTTGGTGGAGATTTTAATGAGCAAAAATTAGGTCTTTTTAAAGGGCGTGAGTGGCGTTCATTTGAGTGGGCGTGGTGGGCGCAAATGACGCCATGAATAAAACCCTCCTTGATAGACTCCCCTAGTATTCCCCTAGTACTCCAAAAGGGAATCAAAATCTATGATTCTGTCAAGTTGTTCTCCTATATTGACACAGGGTGACGAGGAGAGGTGGTGCAAAATAAGGGGCTGAAAAGGTTGAAAACTACTTAAACTCTGATACACATAAGAAATGGGAATTATGTTGGAATTTCGACTTATGTATTTACGTCTGATTGGGAGAGATTCAACAGTTGAACGACGACTACATAGATCACAATAAGTCCAAAAGTAGAATTCCAGCACATTTGACAGAAAGAGATTATACAAACACAAATGAACTTTGGGCTGTTGACTACTTTATTTATGATACATATATCTAAATATGTGATGTTGATACTAATATCAGCAACCCTTAATTGTCATCCTCTCCTAATCTTTGCGACTATTTGTTGTTTGTATTTGCTAGCTTAGCTTCGTACAGCATGCATATACTTAAACTTTCTAGTTTTGAGTAGTTTAATCCGATAGACATTTGTTTCACTTATGTAATACCTAATTTAGCTACAGCAGACTAAGGATAAGTATTTGGAGCTTATATAACTTAACATGTTTGGCAGATATATATTCTACATTTAATTTTAGTGGCATTTATAATCATGCTGCAATTTGTATATGTATTACACTGACTTTTATATATTTAAATCTACAGAACAGCATGCTTCTTACACATGATTGTGGTGTTTATTCATCATAAAATCCGAGCGAGTCTTGATGGTCGGCAATGTCGAGGTCGAAGGTGAAGTCGTCCGTGTCGTCGCCGGTGGTGACCTGAAGGAGGCAGTCCTTGCTGACCGGACTTTCATTCCCCACCACGTCCGACCCCTCGCTCTCCTTCTCGTCACGAACCACCTGCAGGACGAGGGATTTTTATCATTGTCGAAAAAACGTGGGTCGCTCCTCTGATAGAAAAAATTGTCAAAACCTTACCATTCCCGTGAGAGCAACGATGTAGTTTTTGGCCAACGTTAAGGTTTCTAATTTGGACAGCCTACGGCCTTTAGTTGCCACATGAGGGATCACCTCACGAAGAGACTGTAATGTAACAAAAGTAAACATCATTAACTTCATCTCTGTTGGTCGCTTATCTCTCCCTCTCTCCACCTCCGCCCTTATCATCATCTGCATCCCTGTGTCCGGCTCGTCTATCACTAAAAATATTACTTTTGTTGCAAGGCTGTCCATGTACAAATACGAATGTACGTCGTGGGTTTGGATGTGTGTCGCTGGTAGACTTGGGAAATAATGCCCTCCTTTCACCCTCTCTCTGGTGAATTCCAAGGTGTGGTGTATGTATTTGACCACACGTCAACCGACTGTAATAAACCTCGGTTGGTCGTTGTAGTTCAGATTTACAATGTTGAATATGTTTAACCACCGGTGAGCAAATATAGCGAGATGTTAATCTTGTCTGCTCCTTGTGCGAATAGGTTAATTTAGCGAATCGATCATCATCATCATGGTGAAGGTCATTCTTCATACGAGGAAAGAGATCTACACCAAGAGGGATATGGCACGCTGGCGAATACAGCTTTCTCCGCCTATCAAATGGACTTTGTCAGCCTATTAAACTTTGAATGAGTAATGAACTAGCAGGAGCATCCTCCTTCTCCTACTCTCGTGCTGGTACAGTAATAATAATGACCGTAATATGAGCTCTGGGTGATAAACTATAAATTTTAGGGAGGCAGGGCAAAGTGAAGCAAAATCAGTTTCACTGTCATTAAATTGATCCGAAATCTCAGTGTTCATTCAGTATTCAGAGACATGGATGGATTTGCTAGATGGAGGTTCGTTGCAGATAGAATTTAGAATCTTTTTTGGACCTCATTGCCACCAGCTCGTCGTACAACTCACAACGTACAGGACCAGATACAGAGATACAGCCTGCTTTCTCCTCTTTCACCAAAAGCCACATTTTCCCTCGGCTCATAATATTCTACGCCAGCCTAGTTCCGCTCACTCCTTCCAAACAAAGTGGATGAGGAGGAGGAAGGTTAATTCACCAACGAATATTGCTAACTTTACAGAGGCTTAGTTCGGTTTCCTTTCTGGTGTCACGTTACATATGCCTCACCGACATATTCGTAGGCCAGTCAGAGTAGTCGGAACAATGCCCCTGTGTAAATTATTGGGCCCAGTACCATTGTTTGGCGGCTTTCACTACAAGGCATAATTCCATACGTATGCAGCTGAGGAATAACAAGCACAGCTTTCTTTCTTTTTATTGTGACTTCCTTCGGATGACAAACTGGATTATACTAAATCAATACTGGTCATTGAGTTCAATGGTTCTGGCAACAGGCATTTTTCCTTAGTTTGTGATAAGGTAATACTGGTTTCCACAATGAATAAGAATATATGTATTTAAGACTAGTTAGAACTTTAATACAAAATGAAATTAATTGTGTTGCATAACTTTATACTATACTTACTATTGTTAGTACATCTAAAGTCAGTTGCTGCCCTATATCTATAAATATCTGCAAACGATACAACGAGCTGGTTTATGCATAATGCGAAGAGTTAGCAAGGTGGCATTTGTAGGAAAGCTGTGGTCTTGTGGCTTGCGGCATGCCTCATCCACAACTTGATGGAATAACGAACCCTGAAATAGCCAGCTACTTGATATTTGAATAACTAGTTAGTCTTACATTCAATCATTTGACATTCACATATTTCATAAAATCAACATTTACTCAGAGTATTGGCAACCTAGTCTCTTTCTGGAAAACTTGAATTACCATAAATTTCACACCCGCACTTTACAACTTGAAACTAATTAATTTTGTATTGTAAAGGAGCAAAAATCAAACAAAAATAAACTACGCCATGAACATATCAAGTAAGTAAAATTTCAAATTCCAAATTATCTCTTTTGACTAAACAATACAATCAAGCCAATTCAATCGACAACATACAAACTAATCCCACGCAGGTTGCAAAGTTTTTTTTTTAGTTTCCAATTTTCTACATAACCAGGTAGGTCCCTGCAAAATATAAAATTCTGGCATAAATTGCAAGCCTACGTCATTTGTACTAATTGAGTATTACAATAGCTTTTATCTTAATTCGTGCACTATTGAATTATTGTTGATAATTATATAACACGGATAATTCCACTCCTAAATATGATTAGCCTCAGTTGACCAACTTTTGTTGAATTCATTTATTGGACCATTCTCATGAAATTCATTCATTGCCTTCAAATCCAGTTCATTTTGTTGGACAACTGCTGCTCGTGATGGGAAAAGGCTGGTTTGTTGGCCGAGGTGAAAGGAGACAAAGCAGAGATTAGCCTCTCGCGTGGGTCATGCCATTCGCATTTGGTTTCTACAATCAGGAGCAGGAAAGGGAAGCTCAAAGGAAACTTGTTAAATTAATTTAACCATTGTTTGGGTGGTGTGACTGTTTCCACCTCGCACTGGCAGTAGCAATATGTAATAATGTTCTCTTGTCAATTCTCGGTTTGATTTTATCCCTGCTACTGCCAGGAGTTAATTATAAGTTTCCGCTCTGAGGCAACATGCGAAGTACAAACAGAAAACACCAAGTTAAACCCATACCCAACCACACCACCAACCACTTTGCTTCTCAACAAAAGGTGACGAAAACGACAGAGGAGTGCACGTACATATAAACTCCACACATCGGCCAAGTCATGACCAAATGCAATGTTACAAATAACGAGATGTATATGAGATTTCATGGATAAATCGTTCAACCCCAACGGTGCCCCAATTCTGATTCTGACTAATCAAAACTATTGTTTGAGATGCAGTCAACAAACCTAAATTTATGTAAATATTTAGTAAATGTTTTCCACGTGCATTGCAATTGTATACTCGCAGCCTATGTATCTGAAGCAACAATTTGCATGGAATTTGTCGCCAACTTGACATTGCCGTGCTTGTGGGTGTATTCTCCTCATCCTCGCAAGCAGGCAGGATGAAGGGAATACTGCCACTTTGTGATTAGCTTTCTCTCTTTACGTTGACTCATCAAACTGTAGGAATTCCAAATGCATTAAAACTGGGTCCATAATTTATGCCTTTCACTTTGGTGTGTAGTGCAATCGCTATTTCCCACACACTTTCTACCAACTCAATGCGAGGTGTACGGATGTGTATGTAACAGAGATAAGTAAGATTCCAAAGAAATAATTCACAAGTCAGAGGAAAGTTGACCAAAGTCTTGAAGCAGTTTTATACGCAATGCTCCTTCTTAATTCAAGAGCCTTCAACCACTCTCCTTTCTCTCCTTGCAAGTGGTGTAGCATTAATGACATTAAATAAGGGTGTCTTAAGGTCGCCAGATTAAAGTGGTGGTTGGTGAATAGGTCACTTCCTACTTACTGTAGTTCATAGGGCAGAGATAGTGATTGTGTGACGATGTGCCGAAGCAAGTAGGGCATTTGGAGACATGATGGCAGGCAGATTAAAATTTTAAAATGTCACGAATTACATAAAAATGATAAAAACCCAAATTATCTGTGAATCTAGAACTACCAATTTTTGGAGGCTTGTGACTTTGCATTAACGCATCATTGCCACCAATCTTGGAAAAGTTAAGGGTTAAAATAAGTTTTACCGAAAAGGCTTGATTAAGCGAGTGCATTCTTAATCTTTCTCTCTCATTGCTCTCCAGTCGTCGCAGTGTCTTCTCTCTTTGACTCAAATTCAACTTCCTCCTTCCCACCGGATTCTTTTTCCTTGTAGCGTCCGTAACGTCACCAGTCGTTGTCACCTCGCCATTGGGATTATCCACCAGTCGCCCATTCGTCACACTTACAGTCTCCGCCAGAAGCATGGTGTCTTGTCCGCCGGGGGGTGTGGTAGCCCCACCACTACTGCTCCCAATCACGTCCACTGAGATCTGACTATTATTGTTCTCATTCGGATTAGTGCCATTGGGGCATCTGCTGCTCTCATCTTTGAGGTTATTGACATGAGCTGGTGTTAACGTCGTAAGGTTGGGCCTACTGCTTGGATTATGGTCATTGCTGTTGCTTCCGGTAGTGTCGTTGTTGGTGAGATGATTTTGCGGATGCGGATTCTGGTGGTGGGTGAGTCCTGCGCCAAGTATTTGGATGTCGGTGGTAATGAGGTGATTTTGATGATGGGGGGATATGCTTTCGACTGTGGTGGGGTGTAAGGTTATCAAGCTGTATAGATGATGCTGACTGCTGTTATCTGGCTCATCTCCACTCGTATTGTTCGTATGCATTGTCGCTGTTGAGGATGTTGTTGATGAAGAATCACTCAGGTAGAAATCGCTCGATTCGTCCAACATTTTCTCCAGTATTCGCATCAGGAAATCTTGATTTAAGAAAGAAGCGACTACACGGAAATGCAACAAAGTCGCTCAATCGTGGTTTCTTGTTAAAATTCTAATATTTCGGCTCAAGAGCTAACTCTCGGATTGAGAGCGAGCAAATGAAGAAAATGTTTTACAAGAAGAAGAGGCTGCTGGCTGTGGTTGGGTGAGTGTGTGTGTAGTGGATTTGGAAATGACTTTCACCCACTTGTCATCTTCCCCTTGGCACAAATGGGTCGTGGTTTAACTCTGTTAATGTATGGGTGGTGCTCGGCTACCTCGGGTTGAGTGGTTCAATGAAAGGATGACGTCTATTTAAATTCAAAACTTTACAGTCTTTTGGCTCCTTCAAACGTGCGTGAGATCCGTCCTTTGCTGATGATTGGGTAATTTTGATTGCTGCTTTCACCACAACTTCACCTGCAATATAAATTGAATCAAGATTATTTTAAATAAATTATAGTCTACCAACTAACTGCTTGATTTGACAATAAAAAAAATGAGACAATGTGACGCGATGCGATGGAGATGAATGATTCTCAAGTGTCCTTAAATTAATAAAATTGTTGCATAAAATAATTGGTAAATATGTGTATACAACCTGAACAACATTGAGAGTTGGTGCAGGTGACGTTGTCTTACATAAATTAACTACTTAACTCCCAGCCTAGTCGCATTATACCAACCACTGGCATGTACACATGCATACTTAATAGTGTATCGTGCCATAAAACAATTGGTAAAGGGTTTGATTTGGTTTCCACGTAAAATTGTCCTACCTGCATGAGTGTGCACCTAATGAAGAAAAATGGTCATGGTGAAGATTCCAGGAGACTCTTTGAAGCCTAGTCTTGCATATATGCAAATATGTACTATACACACTGCAGACTTTGTGAAAGAAAAATTGAGCGAAGGCAGAATGAAGCAATTGGGGAACTTTTCTCAGTTCAGTGAATCGATATTTTATAATAATTTTATGACATGTCCTTCAAACGCCGAGTCCCAAAACTTAAGCTTGAACAATCAATCAGCCCACAGATCTTCTTTGGTTACATGCAGATACTTGGAAGCAAGAGTTGGATAGTAAAAACTGTCATCTTGGAGAAGGAATCCTTCTATGTGCAGCTCAAATACATAATAAATTCCTGGTACACAGACTCCCATCAAACTCTTGTATGTATTCATACTTAACTTACTACTGCTGTTGCACATACAAAAGTATAAGTAGCGTCACATGTACAGTATCTATAAGTTGAGTTGAGTTGAGTTATTAAGTATTTTTAATTGTAATTCGATTTGTCAATGAGCTAACACACTGCTTGGGCAGTGCACATAAATAATATGGCTACAACTATACAATATAGCTCATAAGAAAAGTAGGGGTAATGGGTCTTGGACTTGTTTTGGAAGTACATACGGACCAATTGAAGCAATGAATTAATTTAATCATCTCTGGAAACTGCTCTCCCCTTTTGACCTTCTTGCTCCTTCCGTTTTAAGTTTTACCAGTTTGTATCCTTGTTCTACTTATTTCGAACCAAGTGCTCACTTGGCGTGGGTGAAGAATGTGGAGAAACCTTTAACATGGCTTGTTGAACCAGTTGAGCACTGACTGTTGAACTACCAATAAATCTCTTCAGCCCACTCTCTGATGATAAAGAGTGACTCCACCGCCTGAGCCTCCGGAAAAGCCAAGCACTTGAAAAAATAAGAGATGGGTGCAGGGTGAGTGTGGTGAATCCTTTCCTTATTCCTCAAATGGAGCCCTTCAACAACCCATGGACACATTACTGCATGTATTTTGGCTCCAGTGAGGAGCTCTGTTAACATTATTGCCCTTTCTTTGCTGGCCTGATACCCGTTTCTGCTGGAAAATCTGCTTCTTTTCAGAAAACGACTGGCCACTTTTCCCGTCCAGTTTGTTTCGTACAATGGCACAAAGCAACAGAATACAACTCACACTGCTCAATTCTCCCGAGACATTATTACTTCGTTTTATTACACATTTTATTTTGCCCTCCTACCCTTTAAATTCCGACCCTAAATTGAAGAATTCGTATGTGCGATGGAAAAAGTATAACCCTTGTATCTGCCTTCGATATAAAATGAAGGATCCCATCAGTCTCACCGAGTTGGTTCTATGATTGAATTTGCTGTGTAAGGGGTTGTTTCAGTGAATTTCTAAAATTCGTTGAAATTAGTCAGAAAATAAATCCACCCCATTATGACAAAGATTAGTACATAGATTAGTACACGCATAACTTGTCAAACTATGTAGATACGAGGAAATCAAAATCTACACTATTCAATAAAACCTGTTGACTATGTGCATACATACATACGTGTATTTATATATGTGAATGCGTACGTTATAATATTCTCATAACATACGGTATTTGTCGATGTGTATATTGTCGATACGGAAAATACGTAACATAATCGATATAGCGGAAAACTACATATTCTGTAAAAATTGCATAAGTAACAATATCCATGTATGCATGAATACATTTTCAACATAATTTATACCTCTGAATCGAAGGCTACTAAATCACAAGTTTTAAATGTACTGCATTACCCACAAATGTACAACTGATGGTTCATTTTTTCAATAAATACATATGCAAATATGTAGCCCCAATTATGTCGATTAAATCCTTAATACATATGGATATATGTACTAACACTATGATTATGGTGGCCACCTACTTTCTAGTGTCATTTATCTATATGAGCGTTGATTTCTATCACAAAACGGACCGATGTTCAGACAAAAAGCCTTAATTTTGCTTTGAGGCGGTTAATTGAAGTCATTCAGTCTTGTTCATTCTGAAGTAGACAAGCGAGAAAGGGATGAAATTGAGTTTTACTTATTTGTCGTTTGTGATTACTCCGTGCGATATACATTAGCTTATAAATTGCTGACATCTCCTTCAGCCTATTACCTTTCAATTAAGACAAAGGTTTTCCATGTTTCACTCTACAGTACATTACGGAGAACTTGAAAGTTAGTCATTATCAATGATCCTGCAATCTCATTCTAGCACAACCTTGAGCTCATTGTTGCATATCCTCTCATTTACGCAATTTACGGACAATCAATGGTTGCTAAACAGATAGCCCGTCGTGTGTGTATGCCCTGTTACTGTTGCATATTTTAGACATGCAAATATTTGGCGAGTATTTGATACATACATCACGACCCACCATACCTGGCTCGTGTTTTATAACTCTGTGGTCTAGTAAATTAAAAGTATCTCAAGACGTGTGTACCTTGTGTCCTTCAAGGATGACGAATGTGGCCAGGATGTGAATAAGCGGGTCTCGATATTTCTTCGCCTGGCAGAAAGAGAGAGAGAAAAAGAGGAGCTGTATGTGATCCCGAATTTGTTTATCCTCTTCTCCACCTCTCGCAGAGTGAGCGAGGAGAAAGCAACTCGTGCTCTTTTGACAAAGTGTTTCCTCACGTCATCATCATCTCCTCCTCCTCCTCCTCTGCTTCCCAAAACATGCAACAAAGTTTTCCTCCTCCTTCTCTTTGTTGTTACAAATATTACACGTGTAAAAATATATTGGTTTGTTCTTTGAGGAGAAAGTATCTCAATTCAATTCCTCGAAATTCTACTTATCCTTCCAGTTTTGTGTTCTTCAGGCCACTTTCTCCCGTATGTGTGTGTACATACGTGGATAGCGGGTAAGAGATTGACAGGAGAATTGACACTGACGAGGAAAAGGATGAGATGTTATCTAATCCAAGGGAAGATGGCGAAGATGAATTTCTGGGCAAATAGAACTTGACGGCGAGATGGGAATACAACAAAGGCGATGTCTTGCTGCTTTTTTATACTTTCAATGTCTCACTTTTCCAGAGCACTAGGCAATTCCGTATGTGCAAGGTTCCGTCCGAGGAAAGTTGCCTATTTTTGGTGGATGATCCAAATATATACAGAGTTTATGTATCGCTGTTGTTATTTTGGTTGCCGATTGCACTTGAAATAATGACAAAGCAATTGTCAGTTCGATCATGTAAACGAGTTTCTGGGAATAACTCTTCCAAGATTAGTCCACTGCTTGCGTCTTGGTTGGGTGTCAGTAACAATGGGGATCGGGGGAAGAGATGAGACAAAGCAGTGTGTACAGGATTTGGTTGTTACGTGGTAGTGGGAGTAATGTATTTTGAGTTGGTTGAAATGTTAATGTAATGAAATTACGGGTAGGACGAGCCGGGAGAAAGATACTTTCACAATGCACTTTCAACGGATCAAGTAAAAAATGTGAGCAACAACAAAAGAAAACGGATGAGATGATGAATTTCACCCCACTTGCTGTCTCACTCGTCACACCATCTCAATTCAAACTCTGGCTCATGAAATGCTCCTCTAAGCTCGGGCTTCGGCCGTGCTGTTTGTGTCGTCTTTTCAGTTTCGTCCTTTTCTTTAGATTCTTTCTCTCCTCCAAGTTTATGTGGAATAAACTTATTCTTTTTATTATTATTGTGCTCACATTACTCTATTTACTCCAGTTGTTTTAAGTTTGTGCACTCTTCGCGTGTCAAAAGTCTCGTTGTCACACAACTGTGTATGTAGACCGCCTTCTCCTTTGCTTCGTTTGACTCAATATTCGTTGAAAAAGTCAAACGTTCTCCACAAATATGATTATATTATGTATGGATGTGATACGTGGAGTAAATTATAACCATTTCCCTAACCCCCTCCCAAAAAACAGTAGTACTTGTTGATACTAGTGTATCCGAAGAGCAGTTGATATTGTGCTCAGCACTGTCTCAACTTTATGAGAATTGGAGCTTGTGGAATATGCAGCCCACCAGTTGATATTAGCAGGATGGGTTTCCCTGATGAAGATTTATTTTGTGAATTGAAGTAGGAATATGAGAAATGGTTTAGGCAGTAGTGCTCCCAACGAGGGAAATATTCGGAATGTTGGCGGAAAGATAATAGACTGTCCTTTACCCCTGCATCATGGAATAACCAACCGTGGAGAAAGCAACATCACTCTACATCCCACGACAGCAGCCAGCGTTTGGTGGAGCATGGGGCGTCTCGGAGTTTGCCCGGTTTTATCCAGCACCACACACACCGCACCACCACCACCACCGCACCGGAGGAGAAAGGCAGAGAGGATCCACAAGTTGGAGGAAAACTGTTGACTCTCTCTCATGTTATATATCAGGATGGTTCCCAGCAGCCAGAATTTCCGATCTGCTTTGCTTTCACCCAAGGAATACGTTCGTATGCGATGGAGAGAGAGAGAGTCTGCCTCAAGCGAACCACATATTCG